GGTCGAGGGCGATCACTTCGCTTAGGAGAGCACGGACGGGATGCTCATAGGTATTCTCCGATCATGTACAGACGACCGAGAGGCCGGAAGGCCAGACGACGTTGGACGTCAAGACAATCTGTTCTCGCCATCACCACGTGAACATGTCGAGAAGGCGTCGACTGAAAGAGGCAACGGCTGATCGTCGAACCCCAATCACACTCTAATGCGTGGTACAGACGATAGCCTCATGCTGATTGTCCTCCCACGTTTCGACCTGCATACCGTTTGGCCTTTGCAGTGCGAGCAGTGGGCACTCCCTGCTCCTGTACAGGGTATATCCTTGTGATCAGCTACTGCATGCCCAGCACCCACCTAGACCTGATTGGGATGTCTCTCCGGCCCCCATGCACTTGCTACCCGTGAACATGCCTTTGTACGAATAAACATCCCAGCGCTAAATGCTCATTCAAGTATCATATCTCTTCGCTCAGTCTCAAGAGAGAGTCTGTTCCAACAGCTACAGCCTCGGCCGCGGGCGTATGCTGGGTCGACCCTCTAGGCAAGATGCTTACGGACCAGCTCATGGAGACAGAGACAGAACGACACCACCTGTAAGCACGCAATGCTCCATTCGTCCAACAACGCCTCGAGGCCTGCCCGGAGTACCAGCACGGACGGCATGCAGGTCACCGTCTCTGATGGCATGCACAAGGCGGGCGCGTGGGTGTGATTGCATCCCCACATGCAGCCACAGTGTGAAGAAGTGGCCGCGTGCAAGTCATCACTTCAAATGGTTGATCTGGGGGTGTGTCAAGCGCTGCACTACAAGTACAAGGACAGCCAACGAGACTCGTCCAGCCAGGCTCTCAAAGGAAATGATACGAGTTGACAGCGCCGATCATGTGGGCTAAATGCGTTGATCAGGTTTGGGGGACGACACTCAACCGGCGACAAATGTGTATTCCCGGCCGCAATGAAGGCAGCCTCGGTCCTCGTGAGCACCGTACACAGGCAATGGGATGAACAAACCCAGGCACCAATATTGATAAATCTAATCCCGCTACAAAGGGACCTGTGCCTATACGACGCCGGCAAATCTGTGCGCGACCGATAATACTCGAGATTTCGAGCTGGGATGGAGGAAGGTACCTCCTGATGTACCTACCTCCCGGTGGTCAATCGCTGCTTCCCGAATTCGGATCGAGAGTGGGTGTGATACTTAAAATCCATCAGATATTTGTACTGGCCAGCATACTGGCCAGCAAATCCTGCCAGGCCGAGCCGGTCGCTTGCAGATTTCGATAGGTACTCCCACGACCATGACCACTCCCTCCTCCATTTGATCATCCATGTCTCATGCAGAGACCATCCGGCCATCCAGCCACCCATCCACCCATTAATTCCATTCCTAATGGTCCCATCCTGGCTCGACGTCGCTTTTTCGAAGAGGTTATCGTGGCTGCCGAGATGTCTGCTTCTCCACCAATCTCGAATAGCCCCCAAACTTTCCAAGGCCAGCACCCATGAGTGTCTCATTCGCAGTGGCTCTGGCCGGTGGGCTGGCGGGCTGGCAGAACCCTTTGGCGGCATGGTATGCTTCGATCCCCACCAGCAAAAGTGATTGATCAACAGGGGGTTAGTGCGCTTATTTCCTCGTACATACAAAGTACAAGTAGTGCCGTGCTATTTTGTCGCCTACTCCGTTGGATTGCTGCCAAATGGGGCGTGCCGACATGGGCTTTTGGGCTTTGGCCTCGCTGGGGGTTGTCTTTAACAAAGACATCCGTGGATCCGTCGTGGATCCGTCATGGATCCCATACCGTACCTGCCGAGTCGACGACCCTGGGGTGGACCTGGCTGGCAGGCCAAAACCAAGGTCTGTCTTGACTTTCCCGGATTTTCAAGATAAACATCATGCCACTCGCCTGACGCACGGAATGCTAGTGTCGAGCCGTCGTCCTGCCTGCTGCCTCCAGCCGCGGCGGCCATCGGCAGACTTGGACAGGGACGTCGCCGTTGCCGCTCCGTGCGGCAAATAGACGGACGGCATCGTGGCGGCACCCCCTTAGCCCTTAGCTCTGGGGAGCTACGGAGTACGTTAGGTAGGTTGGTTGGTACAAGGGATTGCCTACAGTTTGGGGGCCACAGCGATATTAACCCGCTTTCTAAGTTAAGAAACAACGAGTCTCTTCCCGTGCCCTCCACTTTATGCCAACGACGACACCGGGATGCAGCCCTACCTCTCACTCGAATCTGGATGATACCTCGATTGTTTTCAGCTCCTTCCCGTGGTAAGCCCTCCGCCTGGAGAGCCCAAATAATCTATGTGTTACAACGAACCTCATATAACCAGAACAACAAGACCCGGGAAACGTCCCCAAGACGAAACAAAGGGCGCCTCTTCTAGAAGATCTGGGGCAGTGTTCCACGAGGTATCCAGCAGCATAATGTCTGTCACGAGCAATGTGCATCCCGCGAAGGGCGACTTCTCAAGAAATTGACCCATACCACCAAAGTCCAGTGCCGGTCTAATCTCGTCAAACTCAAGATACCCCGCATACTTCGCCCGCTGGATCAATCAGGCGCCAAAGCAGCAGCATGATTCATCAACCCTACCGCTTCCATATCACTTGGGGCCCGACTACGAACTCCGTACATGCCTACTCGGGACAGTCTCGACAGTCGACACGGGACCCTTTTTTCCATTCTCAACCTGCGGCCTCTCAAATGAAGCATGCCCACTTCGCAGCCCAAGACAATAAACGTACCCACAACAGCGAGTTGGCATGCTTTGCTGCTAGCGATGACAGTTCCGGGCTTGGTCTGTGGGGCCGCTCCTCTTATTCTTTTGGTCCCCACTCTGGGCGAGCGAATGAACAACAGCAGAGGGTACAAGGGTGGCCTATATAAGACGGTATTAATGCATGCATCTTTTAGCCTGTGAAGGGCCGACTCTCAAGACCGGGCACAGAGAGACGAACAAGGTGCGGCTGCCTGCACTGCGAAGTATGTGTGCTGTGCTCCGGCGCACGCCTCAACGTCGAGAGGTCGAGAAGAGGGCCATGTCTCTGGCCAGGCCTTCTGTCTGACTTTTGTTGTAACAGATTGGTCAGGTTGCCTGTTTCCGCTTCGACTAGCCCAACTCTGCAGCACAAGGGAAGAAGGGAAGAAGCTCCTATGATGGTGCTTCTTCCCCTTGACAATGCCATTGCTGGCAGCCCGGGGTAAGGTGGCGTCTGCTGGCGTCAAAGAGCGACGATCTAGACTCCAGCCAACGGCTACTAACTAGACATGGGAGTGATGTGTCCCTACACACTGTTTGTGCCTCGCTCGCCCGCCCTACGACCGCTCCGTACGCGGTCTGTGAGACCCTGGAACGCCGCGATGGTACGCTCAAGGGCTACAAAGAACGCTGCAAGGGGCCACGGGCCTATTGAGGGCTTGTCCGCGCGCGATGCAGGACAGGATGCCCGTGCCACGCCAACTAACTAATAAGGCAGCGCGAGCAAGATCCTTATTCGGTGGTCAAAAGACCTAGGGTCCAAAGGAGCTAGACCTCGATCCCAGGGAGGGTAATTCAACATACGGAGAGCATGTGGCCGTCATTATCACCATGTTATTTCCTCGGCTTTGTCTCCGTCTGCCCCTGCGACCCTGAGTGATGGGCCCCTCGGCGGAGGAAGCAAACGAGATCGAAACATTCACAGCCTTGAAATATCCGAAAGCCGCGACGCCAAGGGCCCTTGTGTGGACTCCTCGAGACAGGCCCCGGGTGGACCATACAGAAGGAGACAACGTCATGCTCAGCGGGGATCGAACGAATTTCCTTTCTCTTTGGGCATCGTGCCAGCTCGCTACCAAAGTCAGGACCGCAGATACTGATTCTCTTCTCTCCTTCTCGTCGATCCAGAGGTGCAGCAGGAGGACATGCAGACAATACAGAGATTGTGTTCTGATGGAGACCATCCTCCCATCGCCCCATCCACCCATACCTATCCAGGCTATTAATTGCCCCCTTCGAGAGAAGCAGACAAATCTCTTGCAATAGTCGTCTCGGTACGGTCGCCTGAGTTCCCTGTCCTTGCTCGTGATGGATCACATTAGCATTCCGAGCCACCCGCTCTAAAGGGACCTACGACCTCGCGCGCTGGAGCTTGAACTACAAGATACGAGCCCTTGCGCCTTGGTTTTTCCCCTGGGCCATTCCAAGATCCGATGCGACGTCGAGCTTGGTGGGTTTGTGGGTAAGTCTCGGGGAATAAAAGCCCTGTCTAGGAGGCTGTCAATGCAACAGCGCGATGGCAGCTCGGAGTCGGTAGGTAGACCGACCGGGCAGGCCTCTGGCTCGATTAGGCCTCTGCCGGATCCCAAATGGGAAGAGGTGGCTTGATCATGACAGATTACGTTGGACGGGGGATTGCCAGTGGATGGCCTCCAGTTGAAGCCGGTGGCAGCAAATACAAGTTAGGCACCTGATATGGAGAAGGGCAACCCAAATCTGCGATCCTCACAATCTTCCGCCCCGCCACTCTTCTCTTCTGGCACGCAATGCTACGTAAAAAGGCACACATTTGAGGAAGAGAAAACACGGATGCGATTGGGAGGCAGTTGGTCCCCTTCTCCTTGCTGGTAACGAGGATGTCACCTAGTCACACGGCAGGGGAGCCAACCCACAATCGGCACCAGTGTCGCTGCTACGCACCACGCTCGATGAATACCATGCTCAGAGAAACAAGTCCCTTTTCATTGCCGGGCAAGGAGCGTCGCAACGCCGTAAATGTGTCCCGGCGGGTCAAATGTCTTGAATGCTACCTCCATCTATTGCTGCATGCCTCGGAGTACGCTATACCATCGCCCTAACTCGGGATATCACGCTGCAGGATGAGAAACAAATGTAGGTATCGGAAAGAAAACGAGAAGATGGGGAAGAAGCAAAGATAGGAGTCGAGTGTACCCTGTCCATCGTGGAAGGGCGAGATGGCTTGACCCGAGGCAATCACCTCCCTTTCCCTGGCAAGTCATTGGCCAAAGCCCTCAGGCCAAAAGATGAGCTCCTCGTCCTCGTCGCTGTCAGATTCGACGAGATCCTCGTTGTCATCGAGAGCGAGCTGTACAAAGTGCCTGACCCATGCCTGTTGCGCCTCGTTGAGCTCCTGCACGCCACCACCTACTGGTGCTATATTAGCGCCCTGCTCCCCCCTGACTTGGCCTGGGCCAGCTGCTGCCGCCGCTGCTCCTCCTCGGCCAGCTGCTCCCTGCCCGTTCCGAGCTCCGTTGGCGTTGTGGTGGCGCTGGTTAATCTGGTGATTCTGGTTTTGATTTTGCCGGTGACCGCCTCCTCCTCTACCGCGACCACCAGCCTGGCCGGCTGGTGGTCCTCTTCCTCCTCCTCGCCGCGGTCCTGCTGCACCTCCCGGCTGCTGCTGCTGCTGCTGATGTGGTGGCGCCCGGTTAGCGACCTGTCCTCCTCCTCGATGCCTTGCCCCTGGTCCCGGCGGGGCAGGCGCTGCAGGAGGAGGAACAGCCTGATCACGACGCGGAGGCTGTTCTGCGGCTATCCGCAGGACCAGCGGCCCTTCACGAGCGACCTCCGCCCTGCCTGCCTGCCCGTCGTCTTGGCGTCGCCCATTCCCGCCGTCTGCTGCGACGACCTCGTGGATAGCGCCAAGGCCGCCCTCGACGCCGTCCTCGGGTTCCTCTATCTCGACCACGACAGCGCGAGGTTCGACTAGATACAGCTGGGCAGCAGCAGCAGCAGGAGGAGGAGGAGGGTGAGGAGGGCCCGGGCCAAGGCCCGGCCCTCCAGCAAAGTTGTACCCGACGTCGTCGCCGTCGCCGCCCTCGAGCTCCCACAGGCGCATGTAGCAGCCGGTGACGCGGCCGTCGGGGGCCTGGTTGAAGTGCTGGTAAGGGTTGCCCGGGTCGAGCCAGGCGGAGCAGAGGTAGCAGAAGTGCGACTGGCAGCGGTAGCAGATCATGTGGTTGCAGCCGTGCGTCTTCTGGGCCGGGGCGGCGCAGGTCGGGCAGGGCGTCGTGTGCAGCTGCATGTACTCGAGCGAGGCCTGCTCCTCGGCCGTGAGCTCCCCCTTGTCGCGCCGCGGGGTGCAGCGGTAGAACTCGCCGTGCCAGGTCTGGAAGCAGCGGCTGCAGAAGGCGAAGCCGCAGTCCTCGCAGATGGCTAGCAGGTCGGCCGTCTCGGGGACCTTGTGCGCCTTCTTCTTTGCGTCGCTGCTGCCGCCTTGGTCACCGGGTCCCGGCTCCTCTTCCGGGTCCGAGTCGCCGGATGCCTCCGCTAGCTCGAAGCCCTCGGGCTTCTTGTGGCGCTTGGAGCGGGCCGCGCCGTTGCACCAGGACCGCGGACAGTAGATCGTGTTCTTGTCGGACTCGAGCTCCGTCTTGTACTTGAGCGTCACGTAGCGAGTGACCATGTCATGATCGAGAGGGATCTGTAACAGCTCGCTGGGGCTGATGAAGGTCTTGGGCTTCCGGCGCTTCTTACCCGCCGTAGCCGCTCCCCGCTCCTTTGCACAGGTAGGTTCCAGGCACCGGACCGAGGCCAGGTCACCTTCCGTAATGGCGTTGTTGTAGAAGTCTTGTAGACACTGCACGCAAAAGACGTGACCGCAGTCTAGCATGCGATGACAGACTGACCCCTTTTTAGGGTCTAACGACAGGGTTAGTATTTGGTGGACTGACAAAGATGTAAAGTACGTACCTAAACACACTCCGCACTCAAATGTCTCCTTCTCGAAAGCTGCTCTCGTTGCTTTGATGTCGTAGTCCAGGATGGCGATCTTGTGCTGTGCATCCACTTCGAGATTCCCCTTCTCGCCCACCAACCCAAAGACATTCTCTGCCTCTTGCTGCACGTGGTCGATGTAAGTGAAGACGACGCTGTCTCGACCCATCTCTTCCCATAGTCTGGTGGCATCGGCTCCCAGCCTCTTGCTCACCTCGGCTGGAAGCCATGGCGGTGACGTCGATATGGTGATGTCTGGGGGCGCTGCCTCGGGGTACCCCTTGGGAAGTGAGATATCGAGTCGAACAGCAGGTAGATGGGATAGACCGTGAGAGTCTATCTGTCCTCCTAGAGCTCCAGCTTCCGGGTTATCCACCGGCCCACTAGCTGGTGCCGGAAAATAGACGACGACGGGCTCGGACGGGTGGACGGGGACCTCGAGCGAAAACCTGTGAGGGTCCCGCGCGTCGAGTTGGATCTCTGGGAAGATGGCCGACAGAGACCCCAGCTCGGTGTCGCGCTGATCGTCAGACTCATCCATCCTCTGAGCGCAGGACTGTCAAAATGAAAAGTCGGTTCTTCTCCCTGTTTCCAGCTGCGCGCTGTGGCGTGGCGCTACCTGAAGTTTCTGGCCATTTGCCTGAGATGAAGTGCGAGTGAGCGGGTGCTAAGAGAGGGAGAGATATCGCAGCCGCCAAAACCTTTTGTACTTCGCAGTACGGGTGAGTCAAAAGGTTTGTTTGAGAACAGACTCGACACGGCAAAGAATATTTGCGTGGACCAGTCTGCTCCTTCTTCTATCTCTAAGTGAATCTACGACATTTCGTGATTGATAATGGGCGGCGATCTGTGGTGGCGGGGTTCCGTGATGATGTACTCCCAGTAGTCTTGGCTACAAGAGAGCGACTAGTGGAGCAGACGCTAGTAACGCACGCCGTAGTAAAATGACTCTTTCGCCGTCACTGACGCCTAGAAATCTGTGCCGCCAGTCACTGCCACAGCCAAACCGCGGTTGTTTCAGGCTTGTCATCGCACAATCCAGCGCGCCGATTGGGCCAAATACCAGCGGCAACGGAACACGAGGCCTGGGGTCTCAGAGCTGACCGCCCAAAAAGTTCCAAGGGTCCACGGTCTTGTCTTTTGGGAGGAAACTGCCTACCTGAGCTTCAACACTTGGCGCCAGCCGCGTCAAAGCTTCACACGACACCAGTTCCACCATCTGGTTTGCTGCGACAACGCCGAAGACCTTAGTCCTTTCCGCGCAGCCCGACATCAATCGTGCCGGGACAGGCACTCTGGACGCTTCAGCTAATTGACCACCTCGCGTAGCCCGTCAATGATGAAAGACGGCGGCGCCTGAGCCCTTGGGTCCCAGCTTCACCCCCCCGCCATCGTGGCCCATCAGCAAGCCTTGTCGAAACCATGAACTCCCTCTGGCCCTCGAGGCCCTCGGCCGACGCCTCGGCGGCGCCTGGCAGGCCGGCAGAAGACGCGAGCGCCGCCGCCGCCATCGCAGACGTCGGTCCCGACCAGCACCAGCCCAGCAGGCCGACCGCCGGTCTCCCATCCCGCCCCGCCCTGCAGCGCGGACAGCAGCCCCCTCCGCCCGCCGTCCCGCCTCCGCCGTCGCAGCCCGCGCCGTCGCCCGGCGGCGGTCCGCAGCAGCCGCCGGACTCGCTCTCTCTCGCGCAGCTGCGCCGCATCGTGGCCGAGTTCCCGCGCTCCGAGCCCGTCGCCTACGACTTTGTGTACGAGGACCAGGCTCCGTTCGAGGAGGAGGTGGACGAGTGGTTCGTCTACCAGTTCTGGCAGTGGGTGCGCCTTAACTCGGTGCAGAAGAGCTTCGAGCACGAGTGGGAGCAGGTCTTTGGCGCCGACACCGCGTGGGAAGCTGCCGACGCCGCCAAGAGGAGTCGGTTCGTCGCAGATGCGCTGGCGGGTATCAGGGCGCCAGAGGTAAAGGAGCGGGCGAGGTGGATACCCATCTTGCTCTATCTCGTCCTGGGGAGATGGGGAGCTACAGCTGGCGGTGCCTATGCAGGGGCGAGAAGGGACGAGAAGATCAAATCCGTGGCGACTGCTGCCCAGCTCGAAGCCATGAAGGAGGCGGCCAGTATGATTGCGGACCTCGGAGGTGTTCCGACAATCTGGGATGCATTGAGAAATGCGTTTGAGCCTTTGTGGTATGTTCTTGTCTCCATTCCCTGCTATTCATATGGCTGACTAACCCTTCTCTAGGGGCGACTTGCAACCTGTGCAGACAAGCCCGCTGCAGGAATCGCAAGATGAATGGACGAATTTAATGACCGTCATGTACATGCTGGTGCAGCAAGCTGTCAGCAGTCCGCAAGATATGAAGGACCTCCGGGAGAAGCTTGGTATGGCCCTCGATGATCCAAAAATGCTACATGCCCAAGATGCTGACCGTTTCAAGTCTCTTTGAACCCAAGCATACTCTCTTTCATGATGGATACGACTGCCAGGCTACGATGGGACGAAGGAGGGATGATACCCCAAGGCCAGGTACGATTTGATTGATTCCCATGTTTACTGCAACCTACGCGCGCCCAAATCTGACAAATCCCAGGTGTTTATGCTCTTCTGGAAAGCCTTGTTACTTGTTTTCGGCGGCATTGAAGACGTAGCGGAGGTCAAGAGAGCGACTAGTGAATCGACTCTGGATGACAAGGAGAAGGATCTCATCATGGCATCCCCGTTGGATTACCACGTCTTCCGCCAGGAGATCACTTCAAAATACCCTGCTTATATACCCCCGCAACCTGTGATACCCTTAGAGGCGGAGAACAACTCGATTCTGCTGCCGCTCCAGAACAACTCCTCACGGAACAATGGTTCTAACGGCATCCTCCCCGGCCCACCTAACGCACACGCCGGGGGCGCTTCGATTCTGCACCAACCAGTGCACATCGCAACCCCGGCCCCGTCACCGCCGCCATCGCCGGGTGTTGGTGGTAAAGGCGGTAAGAAGCAAAACTATCAAACGAACCAGAACTTTCCATTCATGTATCCGCCATTGGATGCTACTAGCAATGGCGCCGGCGGGAAAGGCCTTGCAGGCCTGCAAGACCTTCTCGTCGGCCGCAAATGGGAAGGCAGCGATGTGCCGGCCTCTATCCTTGAAGCAGGCGAGCTCTTCTCCAAGCGAGTACGTATGAATCGGGCAACTCGACAGCTCTGGGAGGAGCGCGAAAGGTTCATTCGGTTCGAAAGAGGCTGGGACGACAGCGTAGACGAGGATCTCATCGAGGAGCTTGACCTGTCGTCACTCAGTCTTAGCGAGAAAGAAGAACTCGGACTGGTCAAGCCAAAAGAGGGCAAGGCCGGCATGCCCGCGCCGGAAGTAGACTACGGGCCTCATCCAGATGAGGTTGATGAGCGGATCAAGAGGAAGCTTGATGAGCTCGAAAAGTTCTATGTAAGTCCGCGTGGATCCGAGCACGAGACAGTCACCTGCTAACGATTTTGGAAAAGGGCGAATCGCTTCCACAGCTGCAATCACTCGTGATTGTCCTAATGAAGGTGATGCTCGTGAACGTGGCTGTCGCCATGTCGCAAGGCAGCGCTCTCCAGCCTCATCCCGGGATGGGGGGGCCCAACAACGGCGGGCGGTTGAATAGCATGATGGAAGCCGCAAACGCTATCAATGGTTCTGGAGCAGAGGGTGAGACATCTGCCGAAGAGCTCGATGCGGCAAGGACGAGAGAGATCAACACGAAAGCGGTCTCTGGGATTCTCCTGCTCCTGTTGAAGTGGTTCAAGGTCTCACGTAAGTGTAGCATCCTGGAAGTTCTAGTAATGCGCACAGCTGACACTCTGGCTGCAGACGTACTCAAGTTTGAGTATCTGACACAGCTTTTGCTGGACTGCAACTACGTTCCAGTCCTTTTGAAGCTGTGGGCTCATCAGGATGTGCAGCAACTGGTCGATAGCAAGACCGATCGTCTCGAGAACAGGTGAGCCCTTACAAGACCCCGAATCCTGCCCAGTTGCGCAACACTAACTCGGAGGAAAAGCTTCTTCTACTTCTGTAATGTCAGAGCTGGCGCTCCCGAGAAACCCCAAGAGGACACGGATCAGGCACCGCAAGAAGAGCCGCCGGAAGAGGAAGAAGCAAGTGAAGACGAAGCTGCTCCGCCCCCAATAAAGAGGCGCCGGTCACCTCCCCGGCCTCAAGCGCAGCAATCCAATAACTTTGTGCCCAACAACGGAGATCAGACGGGCCCAACGCGCCCCGAGGTTGACGAGCTCGGCTATCCCCTAAACGATCTCCCCAACGAGCCCATCACGGACTTTTCGCGCCGCAACTTCTTCAGCCTCATCAACCTGCTGCGGGTGATGCAGAAGATCTGCAAGAACAAGGCCCACCGCAACCTGCTGCTGGTCCACTACAAGTCGTCCAACTTCCTGCGGCGGATGCTCAAGGTGCCGCAGCCGGAGCTGCGGCTGTACACGCTGAAGCTGTTCAAAAACCAGGTGCCCTACTGCGGGCGCAAGTGGCGGCAGGGCAACATGCGGGTCATCACGGCCGTGTACCTGCACTGCCGGCCCGAGCTGCGAGACGAGTGGCTGGCGGGCTCGGACGTCGACGCCGAGGTGGAGGAGGCGCTCCCCCTGGAGCAGGCGCTCCGGAGCCTGACGCACTGGTTCAACGTGCGGCGGTACCCGGACAAGATGGCTGCCGAGGTCAGGGCGGCGCTGCGGGAGGAGCAGGACTTCTTTGTGCGCGAGCTGGACAAGCTCGACCTTCAGTGGGGCGAGGTGGGAGATGGCGAGAGCGTGATGAGCGAGTGGGACGGCATGCCGGGTTGAGCTGGTGGTGTGTTTTGCCCAGAGTCGTCCCGGGCCAGCCGAGCCTCCTCTCGGTGATGGGCAGATAGATAGTACTCAATGGCGAAACATGCATGACTGACAGACAACATCAGAACTAGCAAACATCACCAAGATGGGCCTTCAAAGTGTCTCTGGACTTTGCTTCGAGTAGTCATCAGAATCATCAGAGTATTCGGAGCACCACATCACATCTCGTTGAATCGTGACGTGAAGTTACCAGATGATTAAGCACTTGTTGGCAGCTGGGTTGGGGTACGGACGTCCACTAAGACGCGGCTCGGCTCCCGCCCGTGCATGTGCGGCAGTAGCGCCAAAACGGGGGAGCACCACCTGGGCAAAATAGCTGGCAAACGTCGCCGAATCAGCGTCGCACATGTGACGTCCTCTCTTCTTTCTGTCTCCTCCCTCTCCCTTTGATCTTTTCTTCTCCTGCAATTCTCCCACACAAAGAGGACTTCAATTGTCCCACTTACCATTTTGAGGTTCGATAGATCAAAGGGCCTCAAAGGCCTGCCACGCTGTAGCCGGATTTGAGACACTTTTACCACTAGAGAGCCCGGAAACCTCCAGGCTCGCCTGCCACATCAACCATGTTTCCCAAGCCCAGCATGGACGACTCAGCGCCGCTGGCGTCGCTGTCCTTGACACACGTCTACTATGTTCGTCTTCTTTACTTCCTTTTTCTTTTTTTGGCCTCATTCCGAAACCCCATTCACGAAACCCAATTGCTGATCCCTCTGCTCTCTCTCTCTGTCACAGGACCCCTCCGACCCGGTCTCGTACCTCTGCGCCTGGCTCGCCCTCGTGCCGCAGGCCCTCTGCATCGTCTACGCCACGCTCATCTGGTCCTCGCGCGAGGCCGAGGTCGCCCTCATGTTCGCCGGCCAGCTCGCCTGCGAGGCCGCCAACTTTGCCCTCAAGCGCCTCATCAAGGAGGAGCGGCCGGCCCACCGCGCCGCCCTGTCGCACAAGGGCTACGGCATGCCCAGCAGCCACGCCCAGTTCGTCGCCTTCTGGGCCGTCGCCCTGGCCCTCTTCCTGCTCGCGCGCCACAAGCCCCGCCCCTTTGCGCACCGCAGCGCCGCCGCCGCCGTCGCGAACGGGAACGGGAACGGCGCAGCAGCGGGCAGCGGTAGGAGGGCGGCTGCGACGACAGCATCGATCGTGGGCCGCGCGCCGCAGCAGCTCCTGCTGCAGGCCGGGCTGGACGCCTACCTCGACCCGGAGGCCTACGCGCACCGGCCCTGGTCCTTCCTCGAGCGCGCGCTGGCCAGCCTCGCGGCGTTCGTGCTGGCCGCCCTCGTCGCCTGGAGCCGCACGTACCTGGGCTACCACACGACCAAGCAGGTGCTCGTCGGCGCCGCGGCGGGGACCGCCTGCGCGCTGGCCTGGTTCGCCGCGACGGCCGTGGCGCGGCGGGCCGGGCTCCTGTCGTGGGCGCTCGACCTGCCCGTGGCGCGGTGGTTCCGGATGCGGGACCTGGTCGTCGAGGAGGACCTGTGCCATGCCGGCTGGGAGAAGTGGGAGGACAAGAAGATTGCCATGCAGGAGAAGAAGGCCAAATGAGAGAGAAAGAGAGAGGGAAGAAAGAAAAAAAAGAGTGCGAGAGGTTGGGCATGTTGAGGAGTTGTTATGTGTGCGCTACCAAGATAAAACCCCAGATAGATGATTGTATGAATCATATGCCATGTCACGGCCGGCCAATTTTGATAGTGTGTTTTCAAAGGGTACATCGTATGTGAAGGTCATACATCATGTGTTGATATTTGGCTAAGATCCTAGCTATTGAAAGCGCCGTGGAAGACGGCATGTCCATATATCCATCCACCCCCTCCCTCTCGTATTCATATTCGACAGTGTCCAACCCAGGTGGAAGTGTGTCGACAGCCCCGATTCCCTTGCACTCTTGTCTACGTTCATTTTGTCCTCCCAAGCTTCAAACGACACAGAAAGACCCAGCATCCTAAAAAAAGCCCTCGGAAACCTCCAAAAAGGGCGGGGGAACTCCATACACAATAATAGGCAGTGGGGATAAAAAAAAAAAGAAAAAGGAAGGAATGAAAAACTCCAGAGTGCATGCTCAAAAGGGCAAAGGTATCAATTCTCTGCTCCGCTGAGTGTGTGTGACCTTGATCTCTCTCTCGCTCTCGCTCTCGCTCTCTCTTTCTCTCTGTCGACCCCAAAGTCAAAAAGATATGCAATACACGAAAGGGAAAAAAAAGAGAGAGAACAGGAAAAATAAGGCTCTACTCATACGCGTATCCTTTCTGTGGGAAGTACACAACCAGTGGGGTGAGACAATGGTAGATATCGAATGCAATGAAGGGGGAAGGGGAGGGAAGAAGAAGAAGTAGAGACGGTTGTCGTCGCCATATGGACAGACTACCCCGAGATGATTTCGTCTCTCCCAAGGTTGGTAAAAAAAAAAGGAAAGAAAGAATAACACCTCCGGTATGGTAGTAGTAGTAGTAGTAGAACAGGGTTTTTCGGCATTGCGTTGGCAGGTCTCCGCAATCAGATAAAATGGATCAAATGAGAGAGTGTGAGTCGGTGCGACGCCCGTGTGTCGTCTATGAGAAAAACCTCCCCCTTTCCCCGTCCCTTCACACAAAAACGCCGCAAGCAATGCCAACCATGAAGAGCGCAAACTCGAACAGTAAATTGAGGTCATCCCGCCCTCTCATATCCAGTCACCGTCGTTATTGGCGGCCGGACTGGCATTGGAGTTTGATCTCATGGGCGGTGGACTCCGGGCCCCCGGGCTCGGTCTGGTCGCCGTCGTGGCGAATCCGACACCCTTTGGGCTCGTAACCTTGGCCCGCGTGGGGCTCTGCTGTGGGATGTAGACGCCCGCCCCCAGTGTCTGCTGCTGCGGCTGCTGCGGCAAGTTCTCCACCACGGGTGTCCGGGGCACCGGCGGCAGGGTCTTCATCCTCGCGTCCTTGACAGGGTCCCGGAAGGGAGACTCGTCGTCGTACGGCTCCCCATAATCCGAGTCTGACGCCGTCTCCGACGGGGCCGCAGCCTGTGGCCTCGCCAGGGGGCTGGATCTAGCTGCCTCGGCGCCCTCGTTCACGTTCGGACACTCTCCGGGAGGACACTCGATAGAGTACACGTGGGCATCCACAGCCTGCGGGGGCCCTCGCTGGATGTCGTCCACGTTCGAAAGGCGAAGCCCGATCTGGACTGTTGCGGACGACACCATGGACGAGTCACGTCGGTGGCGGCCGACTAGATTATTCAGGGAAGGTGGAGGCTTCAGTGTGCCGAAGCCCGTACGGGGCTTGGGTCCTGACTGCGGGTTGTAGGTCGTGGCTGGGAGAAGAGTGAAGGACTTGACAGATTCGGCTCCGCTGCCCGGGAACAGAGAATAGGCCTGCTTGTAAGAGTGCGATGTTGAAGGTCGCGCCAGCTGCGCTGGTTCCGGGGATTGGATCGTCTCGGGCGAATACACGGCGTTCGATCTCAGAGGGTTCGGCTTCTGCAATACGCTGTATACAGAAGAGTGTCGACGGCCAGCCGGATGTGCCTCATAGTCCTTATCATCAGCGCGAGTGATCAGGCTCGCATCTTCAAACATGCGTCGTAGCATGGCCGACTCAGCAGCGTCTCGCCTCACAAGATCGTCATAGCCGGGGTCTCCGGGCCCTGGTCTCGAGATCTGATATTTCATTTTCTTTTGTCGGCATTCGTCACCCGACTTGTGTCGTGGACGAATGGTCGAGATGGTGTTGGATCTCAGGAATAGGTGTAGTCCACCCGTCATGAGACCAGAAACGTTGGCCACCACTGCAGCCACCATCGATAATGAGAGGGCTTGGTTGTTGGGATCGCTCTGATCCAAGAAAGCAAGGTTGAAAAAGAAGGGAATCATAATAACCTGCCAGACACGGAATTAGTCTTGATAACGCAAGCACAGAGCCGGCAAGCAGCACACGTACATTGGAAAGAATGGCCAAGACAAGGTAATACACCATTCTGGACGCGCCGACCCTCTCGCAAGTCTCGATATTGTCGCTTCGGCTCAGCCTGAGGGATAGCGTGACAGTGGAGAGGAGAAGAATGACGGAGATGCCCGTCAACAGCGCAAAGCAGCCAGCTGCATACTTTGACACATACCAGAACAGAGAAGCGAAGCAAAAATCGGGGGATTGAATGAAATCAGCAACAAGGAAATTGATCAGCAGCATCATGAGGATGATGACCAGGCAGATTGTGACGACCCATTTGTTTCGTTGAGGAAAGGGCCTGCGCCGCAGAGCTCGAAAGGTAATTTCTAGCCCAAACACAAGCTGGATGTAGGGCACAATGAATATGGCTGGAGTCCCAAAGTCAGCTTCTAGAGGGTTTTCAAGAAACGTGATGCGATGCTCGAGCTTACCAGGAAGCATTGCCTGCGCTACCAGAGTGCATCCCCTTGCCAGCAAGCTTTCCAGTCCATTGGCTTGCGCCATGGCGAAGAGGGTCCCTTGGATTGCAATTCCGATGGAAAGAACCAGAGGAAAGACCTCTGCCGACTGAACAAAGTTGAAGCCATTGCGCCTGTCTCGGTGTTAGTATGCAACCTCTCCCTCTCCCTCTCCATCAGAGGCCGCGACCCGTGGGATGGCCCGGCGTACCTGAACCTGAAATTCCTATCGTTCCTCCGCTTGGTGGTGTAATTGTCGTACAGGATCCCCATCGCCGTCGTGAAGGCCGCCACGGCGTTGAATGCAGCCAGGATGATGGTCGACGTCCTGATGGACTTTGCCGCCGCGAACCTGAACTCGTTGATGAGCATCGCCGTCGTCTGGTTGTTGCCCGCCTGGAACCCGCCCGGAGGAGGCCTCGGAGGGAACTGCTGGTCCCGGGCCTGCAGCCAGCCGTCCATCTGGTAGCTATCCATCCCGAAGAAGGACATCGTGGGCTCTCGTCGTCGATGCGGTGGACGGTGGCGACGAGCCGTACCAGATGCCTCGTTCCTGTCCTTAACTCATCTATAAACCGGGTCGAATATGGTGATACTTTTGTCGATGTGGGAGGAAAGAAGGGAAAGGGAGGGGACAGCAGAGAGGAGCAAGGGAAAGAAGAGAGTGTAATGGTAGGCAGTAGAGCGATGGAGATGGAGAGCGGTGCGGCAGGGGTGGCACACCATCCAGTCAAACCACGGACCGGACGAAACAGTGTCTGAACCTGCACTAAAAGAGGAGGACCCTTGGGATGGGCGTGGACATACGTACATGCCCCAGGTGCACAGGCTGTGAGAAACGAAGGCGGACAGGCAGACCCAAGACCGGCTTTGTGGGCCGGGGACGGCAGTGGGTGCACGTTCCAGTCGCAATTACGAACCGTCCGTGGTGGGGACGAGATGCATGAAGTTCGAGACAGGAAGACTGGGAGATCCTGGTCGCAGAAGAAATCCGACGAAGGGACCATGGGACAGATATTCTGGGTATCCTCCCTGGCCACGCCCGTCACCAGCGCGGACGACAATCAATCCGGCCCAGATGACTGGTGCGACTGAAGCTCGTTCTTCTAGTGCACGATAAACCACGTACATGAAAGTGATAGATGACAGCGGAGGCCGCTCAGTGATGTGGATATCGGGAGCTAGGAGATGGTGAAGGGACGAGGACGACGAGGATGCACCTACTTCCTAGCTCACTCATACAGCTTGCGAGACTCAGTGTCCAGCCCCGCTCACGGCTGTAGAACATTCGGATACGTGAATCTGGACTTTTTGCCACCATTCTGCGGCTCACGTAACAAAACCTGCCCTTATTCTCACTGGAGAGGCCGTAGTTCATGCCGCGTGTATTCGGCTGGGTCACGGTAGAAGACGAGGAAAGGCTTCACCCAAGGCCCCCGACGGCATCACATCACATCACCGCGTGCAGCTCCCCCATCGCCTGGGCCGAGTCTCAAGGCGACGGTCCGAGCCAGCGACGACGAACAAGAAAAGCAGTAGCGCAAGCAAGCAAGCAAGCAAGCGAGGCACAAAGAAACAAAACGATAGCGCAATGACCTCGCGAGCACAGCAGCGGTGGCTGGCTGGCTGGCTGGAAAGGCATTGATCCGGTCAGGCATTGTTGACAGGGCAGAGGTCCGAGGCATTGATGTGTCGATGGGTTTGAGGCAGACGTGATACACGCCTCGGTTTCGCAGGCCTGCACCCAGGAGATGCAGCTGGTGGGGCTCTTGACACCTGCTGCGACCCCGTCGCGCAGGGGTGTCGCCCTGACGAGTGTTGAAGAGGGTTCTGCACCGGTACCCGCTGCATCGCCCAACGGCTCGCCCGCGCGCCGCGTACCTGCCATGTCTCGGGGCGATTTTAAGCCCCAAAACCCCAAGATCTGGGGCCATGCCTATCGCGGCTTAGGGCAGTAGGTTAAGACGGACTCCCTGTAACATCCCCTGCCCTTAAGACCTTGGCCTCGAGGCCTCGCTGTCTCTCTCATTGGCGAATGGAAGACCAGCCCTGCACCCCTGCAGCACTTGGTCTGTCTGTCAAACAGGCCGATCAGGCCGGCCCTCGAGACGGGCAGTGAGGTGAGGCTATCTTCACTTCTTGCGTTGCTATGGTGCTGCGCTCGACTGTGTGATGTGCGTATCTACCGCCATGCAGAGGGTCCGACGCTGGCCATCAATGTAAATCATTTGTTGATGGCGACTATTTTTGAAATATCTCCGGCATCTGCATTCAAGTTCCTATTGAGAGCAAAATCGCTTGGGGATGGAGCCGACTTGTACAGGCGGGGCATTCGATTACAAGTACAAACAGGCCTCTGTCTTGCTATGGCATCTTGCCGGGTGGCCTGCCCGTTGCCACAACAGCCATCACTGGTAATAATAGATCAAGCTCAGGGAATAAAGAGGCTGGAGTATGGGGAGGAGTAGCCAGTCAAGGTAGAGGCTTGCTTCGCAGAGAGCTCGCATCCATGCTCACATCCCGATCCATGAGACAGGCTCTTGTCTCAGATCGATAGGCCTCGTGCAACGCCAGTACTTCAGAATGCCAAGAAATCCGTCCGGAAGAAACGAGGACATTTTAAGACGATAGATTGCACTAGTTGTCCAAGAAACATCATGATCGTTCAGGGAGCGGCTGCCATCTACTGTCTTTGATATATCGGCGAGCAAACTTAGAGACAAAATCAGTGCAGCTATGTGATCGAGAGCGTAGATGTCGTTCGTGGAAATACATCCATGGATCCGAGACAGAAATCGTCAGTCATCGGTAGCGCCATAGCCGCAGACCGTTATCAATCTCGTGGTGCTGTTCGAGAAGCACTCCACCAGTCAAGTTTTCTCGGAAACGTTCACGACCCCCGGACGTTGGACCAGAGTCGTCCGACCACTGGGTCGGAGCGCAACCCCGTCGAGGAGAGGGCCACGACAGGAACGACAGGATCTAGAATCTGGTACCAAAAGGTGACGTACGTATTCTCCTTCGGGGATTTTTCTTGCATGCGTCACAGGCGAATCCACTTAAGAGCTGGAAGCTCGTCCATCCGAGATGACGGGGCAAATCACAGTCCTGGTGGGCGGCCCCATCACGAGGTCCCTGACTGCGTACATTTCACTCTGTTTCCTCTCACCTCAGCTAACCAACCCCCCCACGCTGAAGCAGGCTAGCAAGCATTGCCTAACCAGTCCAGAGACCAAACAAGGCACACATCAAGTCAGACCCAATCATGACCACCGAGACGGTGTGCGGGGGAAAAGGTAGGCCAGAGAGAGGCCCTGCTCCGGAAGTCCATCCACTAGCCCGGTATCGGGACCTAGGCCGTTGGCCCCCCGTCACCATCTGTGTTTAGTCAGTGCGGCCTTGGTCACCATCCTGAAGCTGCGAAGACTAGTCTCTGCGGTGGCGGCATGGATCCTTTGATTTCAAGGGTTGCGAGTGGAAGATAACAAACCCTCGAGCCCACGAATCGCAAGACCAGATTACTCCACGCTTGCAGGCGGTGATTATGAAGGAGCCTGCTGTATTTCAGGTTCTATGCAGTCACTCAAGTCTCCCAAGATGCCAAGAAGCTGTGAGTGGCGTCGAGGCAGAAGGAGTGTGTCTTCGAATACCACAGCAATTAACATGAGATTAGCTAGCGGAAATACACAGGCATCTAAGCCACGAAGAGAACTTCACCTCTCGCAAGGGAGGTCTTGCAACCCGTCAACAATCGCTGCTCATGAAAGGGTATCGGAAAACAGGCGTCCTGAGAAATTACTTCGCCGTAAAAAAACAACATTGAACCATTTTGACACACGAACAACCATTCCCTCCCGTATGGACCTTAACCATGTGGATTTCTCTTCCACTGATTACACACTCTCACAACACCCATTCGGCGGATGTTTTTTTATTTGCTCTTCTTGCCCTTGACGGTGGCATTCCGCGCCGCAAAGGCGGCCGAAATGTCCTGGGCGGCGACGTAGATCGCGTAGGCGGGGATGAAGACCCAGAGCATGTTGAAGAAGACCAGGTACACCCACATGTACATGAAGTTGCTGGTGTCGAGGTTCACGCTGCCGACGAGCCACTCGGGGCAGAAGGTCATGAAGCCTGTGTGCGAACGCGCGGTCAGCCCAAAAGCCCTCTCTCTACATTCACTCTTCCTCATACAGCAGAGCTCGCCGGCGTGTTCCAGCACGAGACAAGGGTCGCACTTACCACCGTAGAGCTCAGCAGTCGCCATGATGATCATCGTAATGTTGGCGCGCGGGTTCTTCTTGGCGATGTCGTAGCACACCCAGCAGGCGAGGGGGCCGACAATGAAGACGGTCAAGAGCTCCAGGCTGATGACGCCCTACATGTTCCCCAGACAAATCAGCATATCCCCATTCCCATTTCGCTTGTTCGAGACCATCACTTCAGCTCGGTGAGGAGCTTACCAGATCAGCACCAGCCCAGCGCTTGTCCGCCTTGGCGTACACCATCCACAGCTGCGCAAAGGGGTTGTCCCCGCCCGCCTGCGAGCCGTAGATGCGGTCCGCGTGGCCCAGGAAGGGCGGCGTCGTCATGTGGTATTTCCCGGTCTGGAGGTCCTTGAGGGTGACGTCGGCGGTGGGGATCCACGAGAAGAAGCAGTGGTAGAGGAAGCTGCCCTCGAGGAAGAAATGAATCAGCGCGTCAAAGGCGTGCCAGATGAACAGGAAGCGCAGCGGGCCCGACGTCGTGGGAGACAGGGCCTTGAGGGACACGCCGTACGCGACCGCGAGGATTGCGACCGTCGATGCCAGCGAGACGAGTGTCGTCTGGTCAAAAAGGTCGGGCGGGAGTGTCGACATGGTGGCGTTGGCGGCAGACATTTTCGAGACTTTGGCGCAAAGGAGCGTGAGGTAAGGAATGACAGGTTTCTCAGAAGTGGATGAACCAAGTTTGAGTCGGATTCCAATCTCGAAAGTGCCTTGCTTATTTGAGGATAAGCAGCCAGCCCCCTTTTCCTGGCCAATATCGGGCTGGGGTAGTCTGGTCAAGCCACTGTGGGGAAGTCCTAAAATGGCAACTTGTTTGGTGGGTCCGAGCGTAGGTAATTAAGCTGCCGTTGATTGACCCAAGACAGCCTCACAACAACATGCAATTTTTGACATTCCCATGTTGCGTTTCGAAAGCCACAGGTGCGATGTGGGGATGTGAGGGATCATGAGCTAGGTAGCTGCTCGGATTATCTCCCAGCCCAAAATTACTTTAGAAATCCAGAAAAGTGTGAGACATGCGATATCACATCGAGCGGCACATTTGTTTCGAGGCCAAAAACCTTCAATTCATCTAAGCTAGGATGAACTCAGTCTCCCATAGGGGGTATGATGAAAAACACCCGACTCCTGTCCTCCTCTGACGCAACGAGAAAACCAAAACGCCCTTCCAAACAAATACAGGCGTTCGTACCGACGCATCACACGCGGTGGGGTATTTCCGTCGTCAATTCGCAGTCCACTTAGTGGGTGGCAGCCTGCTTGTTGGCCTCGGCGGAAGCCTCGTGGCCGTGCTGCTGGGACTTGTCCTTCAGAGCATCGACGCCAGCCTCAGCGCTGCGAAGAAAGGATTAGTGAATGCCCACCAAACAGAAGTTGAAAACGGGATAAGTCAAGACATACCGGGTGCCGATGGAAGCGTTGGAGTCCTTGGCGGTCTCCTTGTTGGCCTCCTTGGAAGCTTGGCTGGTGGCGCCTAGTGCACATTGTCAGCACCTTGTCATCGAGGTGGCAGCAATACGAGACGGGGGAGACATACCCTGAACCTTGTCAGAGACGTAGTTGCCGGCCTGCTTGATGGTATCCATGGTGATTGATGTGTGTGTGGAAGTTGAACTTCGAGTGTTTGATTGCTTTGATTGTTTGAAGATGGGAGATCTGAAGATGTGTTTGATGATGGAAGAGAGGAAGAAGATCTGGAAGCGAGGGTGGGAAGAGGACGTCTTATATACAAGAAATCATCCCGACCTTGGGAGCTAGGCGGAGCTGTGCTAGGCGTGGAGGTGCCTTCCACGCGCAAGCAAGCAAATCATCCACGCTTGCAATTGCGGCAAGAGCCATTGTTTCCATCATGTGAAGAACAGCATTGCGTCATGGAAACTGGCCTTTGAAGGAAGGGACCTCACCGACCCCTCCTCCCATGACTGCCTCACAGCCACAAGCATACTTTCCGAAGTACATTATGCGGCTAACTGCCTGTTGCACCCCGCAAAGGTGCTTTGCTCAAGGGGGAGCTTGGAGCTTTCCTGGACGCGAGTACAGCATTATGACGTAAAACCGGGGAGGTCGAGCCGCGACTCCTCAGTGGTTGCCGTGTCTTGCGTGTCTGATTGATCAAAGATACAGGCACTATCTCTTTCACAGTCCACGGTGTCTCTCTCCCACGCGGCAGCAAATGAGGGAGCAAGAGCGAGTGCCACAAGAGGACTGACGCAAGATTGCGTAGGATGTTCATCAAGTGTGGCGTATGACCCGGTGTAAATGGTGGGGATACATGGAGCTACATCCAAGCAAGACAGCCTGACAGCCAAGTTACGGACGTGTGGCGACACCTCGTCCAGGATTTGGTACCTGGCTGTCACTACCACTCTGTTCCCAGGTGGTAGAGGTTTCACTGGCACGACTGGCAACCACGGGGCGCAAACAGCGCCACGAGCGCCTGGCCGCAGTAGAGCGGAACTTGCTCGTACGCACAGCATGCATGTACATAGGTACCTACCTAAATGTACATTGATTCTACGCTTTGCAGAGAACCAAGTGAATCTAGAACTCTGATGACGATGGAAGGGGGTCTACGCTTTAGCCGAAAGCGGAATGGTGGCGATCACATTGAAGAAGGTTCCAACGGTTCGGCGCAGGTTTGCATGTACAAGTAGAGGACTGTACGTACTTGTACAAGTAAAGTGACAGCGGGTCCGCCCTTTGCTCCGGTTGGTCAACCCGCAACACCTCCCCCTGTGCAGTGACGACACGACTTCTGTGCTATCAAGCAAAGCTCGACCACTTTCTGCTCAAAGCTGCTGTAAGCAACCACGAGAACGTACGTGCGTGCCCGTTTCCTAAGTGCAGGAATCAATCAATCCCATTGGCGACTACCGTATTCCATAGTCAGATGATCGCGCAAAAGGATACGTACTTCCTTCGACCGTGTGCACAGCCGGGCAGCTGCTCAATCCCGGCATATTCTCTTCAGGGGGCGCCTTGTTTGCTAGCCGGAGACAAAGGTCCGCGGTATTCCTTCTCATCGCTCGATCTCGATTGTGCGTCCTCACCAGGCGGTCAGCAATCATCTCCATCCCGGGGATTCGTTGTACATGATAGGATGTTGCAAGTCTGCCATCAGCTGCCATTCTACGACGATGACGTGCTCCAGCAAGAGCTTTGGAAGGTGGAGGGTCTCTTTCGATGAATACTTCGGGCCGCTCCTAGACCAGCGTCAGCACTATCAAGTACTTCGGTTTTGCATGTGACAACTGGCTCCTCTGAGCCTGGGTCCAAGAGCATCGTGATAATGATCAATGCACAGTCCGACCGAGCTTGCCGCCGTCAAACTGCAAAAACTACTAGACACCACGTGTGCGACTGCATGTCTCATGATTCCTTTAGTTTCACAAGAACAGGAATGGGATGGGTGCACCTTTACAGTTCCGATAAGTCTAGACGTATGGTTGTGTAATGACAGACGACCTGGATGCGATCACGAAGGGCACTGCCCTCTTGCAATCTTGCCATGTCACTCAATAAATGGAGTGTGCCTGAGAAGCAATGGACTTGTCAACTGCCTAGCCAAGCATTGATCAGGGGGCGGTGTATGCTTGGTGATTGCTACAGAGCAATGTTTGATTCAGTAGTGTCCGACTTGTCCATCCATGGTGAGAGCTCCGCAAGCACCATCAGATTTGAGACGGCCCAGTGGGCCGCAGACCTTGATGCGATATTCCATTGTCGATCGAGCCCCTGGCTTGTGTTGACTCAATCTCGAGATACATAGGTACATAAGCTGGCGGCTCCAAAGTGTGGAGGTTTGGCTTTGCTCTAGAGCCCCTACATGTACCGATCTCAGAGCCTCGTCCCTGATATCGTGAAGCAGACGCTCCTTCCCTCGGGTATCTCAGCCAACACCCAGCACCGCACCTGCAACCCGCCCCCATCACTGCCTTCCAGGTTCTTATACCATATCGTCGTGCCCTTCTGTCACAAGCAGAGGAAATAGCCTCGATGTGGTGTAGTGTGAGTACCTGCCGGCTCCCGTGTAAAACATCCCTCGCTAACCCCCCCTTCCAGGGTCAACATCCTGGATTCTCACAAGGAATCTTCCAGGGCCCGGAGTTCGATTCTCCGCATCGAGGACCCGTCGTTTCTTTTTTATGCAATGAACACACAAGTTATTGTTAATCTTCTTCTTTTTGGTCCTCGAGAAGAGGACCAGAAAGCTGAGGAGGTGCTGGAAAATCTCTCCTTTTCCTTTCGTCCTTGTCAGGCCCCAAGTCCACCACCACTCCCGGCACTGAAAAGCCGGCCGGCGTCTCTGTTTCTGTCTCCTTTTTGCCTCCGAGTGTTGTTCATCCTGATGCTACACCTGTGGTGGTCCGCATGGGGTTCTGGAGTTTGATAGCACAAGACCAGCATTCCACGGGGCGCCTACCTTCGTACGATGACATAGCGGTCAGAGGTGCAACACAAGATCCCAGCCCTCGGAATTGCTTCTGCAAGGACGCCATTGTGGCCCAAGAGCCGACGTGAAAGTAGACAAGGGACTGGTGGGGATTTCTTAAGAACGAAATATCAATCATACTGTGTGGTCTAGGAAAGGAGAGTCTCCTGCCCGGGATGACCATCCGAATCTAGACAGCAGAATCAGCGGCCTCCAGTGACAATAAGTGACAGGAGGATGCAACCTCCGGCAGTAGTTCAAAGTCCAAGTTTGACAATGATAAATGAAGAAAATCCAGCTAGATATTGAATTAAATTGTGGTATTGGATAGCTATGTCGCCAGCAATGGTGATCATAAGGATCAAAATCGAACCGCTTATCGTCGCAGTCACGCATAATGCATATCATACAACAAGGCTCATCAGGCGGGCCTGATGGGTGGCTGGTTCCGCAGAGCGAGCCCCTTAGGTCATCGTATCCCTCTTCTGGGGAATCAAAAATCACTTAGACTTGCCCGCCGTCACGTCGGCGAACTTCTTATTCGCCTTGGCGAGCTTGTCCTTGGCCGCGCTGTCCAGCAGGCGGTACCACTCCTTCAGGGTCTCCGCATAGCCAGCCTCGGCATCGATGTCCTCCACCGGCGGGCCGTTGATCTGCGGCTCGCCGGACCCTTCCTGCTCGAACACGGCGTACCCGGACGCCTCGTCGCTCCGCAGGCCAAAGTCCTTGCCCGTCAGCGCCACCACCTGGAACCCGCGCAGCAGCACGCCATCGCCGGGCTTCACGGCGGGCAGAGAATCCTTGTGGGCGCGGTACACCTGCACCTCGACGACGTGGAGGGGCGCCGTGGAGGGGTCGGTGACGTTGAAGGAGAGCGCGTACTGTCGCGTCTTCAGACGCGTGGCTTCCGAAGACGCCGTCGTAGCGATGGCGAGCACGTCGAGCTTGCGGTTGAGGTGCGACTTGAGTGTCTTGAGCGCCACGCACTCCGGCAGGTCGGACCGCAGGCGTTTAGCCAGCTCAAGCTTGAGGGATGCCGCAGAGGCTGTGCTTGTTTTCGCTGCGGCTGCGGCTGCGGGTGGTGCTGGCGGATGGTGAGTCTTGCGAGAAGGGGATTGAAGTGCTGCTCTGGCCAGCTGGACGCTGGCATCCTGCAGCTCGGGGGTGGCGCTCTGCTGAACACTTCTAGAACGGGCTCTCGTAGTGACCGTTGGGCTTTCAGGTTCTTGGTGGCGTTTACCCCTTCGCGCAGCCCTTGCGAGTTGGATGCTGGGGTCAATTGGAGCAGGCTTGGCTTTCGTTCTGGTAGTTGACTTGGCTGGTGGCGGCTCCTTAGTGTCCTTAGTCCTACTACGTGTATGGACCGCCGGCCCTTCAGCGGCTGAGGGCTCCGCAGGCTCTTCATCTCTCTTAGAGTCGTCTTGCAGCTTGACAGAGTCTTCTTGGTGATCTCTCCCCGGCTGCGAGGCATCGGGTGGTACCGCTCCTTGCTCGTCGTCTTCTTGGCCCGGCTTGACGGCCTCTTCCACCGGTTCAACAACCTGCTCCTTCTCGACGAGGGCAGGAGTGACCTCGATGGTATCTTTGCTAGCTTGAGTGGCTTGCGGTTGGTCTCCCTCATCTCCTATATTGGACTCTTTGGCTTTCGGGATGGGAGACGACGCTGTAGGTTCTTCCGATATGACCTCTGCCGGCGGGACTTGTGGCTCCTCAGAGACCAGATCAACCATAGGTGCATCTTCCTCTTGGTCGCCAGTTTCCGGCTGCATAGAGAATAGCTCGACCTCTTCCGGCTCCTTCTCAGACAGCTCCGACTGGGGAAGAGCGGTCGAGCGAGGAGCAGGGCTGGGCTCGTGCTCATCGATCTCTTCATCAACCAGCATGTCGCTTTCATGACGTGAAGTAGGCCCTTCTTTCTGCTGGGTTTCACGAGGCGTAGGCAACTGATCTTCCTGCAACTGCGACGAAGGTAGTGGCGATGACAACATCAAGGGTTGGTCTCCAAAGACCTGAGACTTGATCTGCTGACTCAGAGGGGGCGAGGATGGGGCGATGTTCCCTTTATCGATATTCTCATGCCGACTGACGTCGCCCATAGCAGTGGAGTCTGTTGTGAGCACTTGCGGCTCAAGTCTTGACACCGGCGATTTCCTTGTCTCGATAATGGTTTCGACAATCTCCGTGGAGTCCATATCCGCATTGGACGTGGCTATAGTAGTCGACGTGGTTTTCGCGACTGTCGTTGTCTCCGTGTCTACTTCTTGAGTAATCTGCACAGTTTCGCTAATTTCGATTCGTTGCTCTCCGACCTCTTCTTCGATCACTTCAGGTTCCTCCACGTCAACGGGCTGGGGGTTGAGCGGTCTGTCCATTTCGACATCGTCGGCTTCGTCATCACTGTTTTCTTCCTCGGGCTCCTCGTCACTTTCGCCAAGCGCATCTGCATCTGCGTCCTCCTCATAATCTTCTTCGTTGTCGTCCGACTGTACCCCGTAGGACGGCGATCCAGCACTCTCGACCTCGTCAGAAGGCTGTTGAGCAGCCGTAGTCATGATCGAGCCGGCTGCTGCAAATGGCTGGCCGAATGTGTGGGCAGGTATATCGTGCCTGGCATGCCCCCCCTCATCTTCAAGAACACCTTCACTAGCTTGCTCAACTCGCGGGGCCTGAGCTGTTTGCTGCGAGAAGGCTGAAGGCATTGCCTTGGCGGCATGCTGTGGCGGCGGCTGATCTTCATCTTCCGAATCAGAGATCAAGTCGATAACGACGGGCGGTCCAGGCGGTGCAGCAGGAGATTGCGCAGCACCATGCTGCTGCTCTTCGTCATCGCTTTCGTAGTCCTCTTCCCCCTCATCTTCATCGTAGCTTCCCTCCTCATCATCCGGGCTCAGCATCTCTCCTTCAGGATACTCTCCACCTTCTTCGTCATCGTATTGTTCGAAGCCGTCTTCATCATCATCCACATCCGCGTAGTTGCGCATGTCATAGTCATCGCCGGCGTCGTCTGGCTCTTCTTCATTGTGATCGACAGCGTCATCGTCTTCTGAGTCTTCTTCATCGTCCTCTTCTGGGCGATCGACCATACCAATCATGCGCTCTTCAGCCTCATTCTGATACCGACGCGCGTTGTATCCATAGTCGTCGACCTCGCGGGGTAATGTTTGTCTTGTAGGCGACCGCGAGGCTGTATCTACTTCACTCGCCACGGCTGTTGGCTCGGGAGGCAAGGCTAGGTCTACATGACCTTCTGCATGCTGCGCATCGAGGGTTTCTGACGTGATGGGCCATACCATCCCTTCCCCGTGGACCTCGGCATCGTTGGCTGGCGGTGCCGGGAGGGCCGATTGTTGCGCAATCAAGGCGCTGGCTGCTTCTCGCTCCTCAAATCCAAATTCAGCGTGTTGTATTGAAGCATTTCCAGACCCTAGGTGCTCCTCTGGGTAATGCTCATGCGTGTCAAGTGGAGCATGAAGAAGATTGGAGATGGCGTGAGGAGTAGGCTCCATGGAAGCAATTGGCTGCGCAAAACCGAATCGGACCTGGTCGCTGATAGGGATCTGATTCTCTCCAAAGCTAGCAGCACTGTTCGCTGTTGGAAATTGATTCAAGCTGCCAAAGGCATCGCCACTTGGCATGAATGAGCCAAATAAAGCAGAACCGAAAGGCTCGCTACTAGTGGTCAAGCCCTCGGCTTGCGGAGGCTCTTGTGTTGGTATGTCAACTGCCATTGGCGATGTGGTAGTGCCGTTCACAGTAGTCGGCGGTAATGGCAAAGACACATCCGGCTCAGCAGGGTGAGCAGAGTGCGTTTGTTCCACCGGGTGAGGGGTTTCAATGCGAGGCGAAGCGACAGGTATGTCGAGCTCGACGGTCTGGCATCCCTCGTCGGTCATCTGTGTCCGGGGAGGAGAAGATAGAGCAGTGGCCCGAGCGATCTCCTCCGATTCTGACGCCTGTTCCTCCTCAGGTTCAGGACTTGGTGAATGACTGGCATATCTCCAGGCGCTACTGTCGCGGCCAAAGCGTGTCCGCTTGCGCCCTTTCCCCTTGACTCCGCCATCGTCCTCGAATATGTCGAAGCCAGACTCAAACAATGACCCATATGACACCCTGGCTCGTTTGATGAAAGCAGGGGACGAAAACTCCTCCGGCTCGTCGTTCGCAACCACTCGTTGTATAGCAGGTCGAGGTGGCGCCGGAGGCGTTATCTCGCGTTCGACAGGGTCGGGTATCGCGGGGAGTGTTGGCTCGGGATTGTCGATGGGGGTGGGCTCATCGATGTTGACATATTTCACACCTTGCTCCTCCTCACCACTCTTGACCTCCAGCAGCAGCTTCCCAGTGAATTTCAGCTGCCACTCAATACGAGAGCCGGGCTGCCGAGCAGTGGACTGATCCTTTGCCCACGCAACCCCATCCAAGCTCAGGGCAAGCTGATCGCCTCCGCCGAGGTTGCATGCAGCAGCGGCCTTTGCGCTTGGGCCTTGTAGCTCGACGCGGACTTGGCCTTTGGTGCGCCGAAGACGCACGTCGGGCTCGGCAAGAAGGAAGGCCAAGGTCTGCTTCAACGAATTGTACGGCCAGGTAATGGTGACCTCGCCTCGGACAACACGAGATGCCGGCGCCGGTAGATCGGGACTGAGCTGCGCTATTGGGGTTTGTTGCGCGGTGGCAAGGATCTGAGCCGGGGCTGATTTGTCGGTGGCCGGCATTTTGAGTTTCGCTGGGGGAGGCGCGAGAGCCTCAGAAACACGTTATGAAGCTATCATGAATTGCAGCAGGACGATGCGCGTCTTCCGCAATGCGCCCTGCAAGTCGTGTGGCAATGAGTGTGTCGAAAGAGAAGAGCAGCCGAGGACAAGAAGAACTGAGTGTGAGGCCTTTTGTTATTTGTGTTTGGCAAAAAGGTGAGTTGTTGGTGAGGTCGCAACACGGTCATCCACAGGTCATGAATGTTTGCTTGACGCGCGAGTCGCCTTACTTTGATTGATTGATGAAGGTGGGCAGCTGTCGCCAGCTCTAAAAGGTTAGGGACCCACTTGGAGGATGCACCTCCCACCCCACAGCAGGTCGATTCTGGAAGGCGGTGAATCGTGCTAAGTGGCAGAATTGTGGAAGTGATAGTTATCTTATCGCTCAGAAAGGGACTTCCCGATGGTCATGCAGCTCATGCTCAATGTTCTCGGAGGAAGCCGGTGCCGTCGCGCAATCTGGTGATTGGATAACACCACACTTAAGAACAGAGACTTGCTCACTCATGGGAGATGCTTAGATTCGGGCCATTATTACCTTGTCACTGCCCTCTTGATGAGAAGTTTATATGCCAACCAACGAAGGCATATCCATTACGTGTACAATGGGGTCGGTCGAGCCTCAAAGCTTCAATGTCAAGCGCGTCGCCGTGATCGGCGCTGGCCCTTGCGGCCTCTCTGCCGCCAAATATCTCGTCGCTCAGGGCGCCTTTGACAAGATCGTCATCTTTGAGAAGCAGAGCGAGGTTGCTGGTGTTTGGCTGTACAGTGACCGGCCGACGGAAACTCTGCACATCCCTCAAGAGAACGCCTTCTGCCCTCCCGACCCCCCGATCACGTCCAACCCTCCTGGAGAGCCCCCAGTCTTCCCGACGCCCATGTACGGCCTGCTGCACACGAACATCCCCAAGCGGTTGATGCAGTTTCAAGACCAAGATTTTGAGAAAGACTCACTCATCTTCCCGGCCAGAGAGGATGTGGAGGCTTACCTGATCAAGTACTCACAGGATGTACGCCACCTGATCAGGTTCTCTACCCAAGTCAATGATGTGCTCCTCCAGAATGTGGATGCGGCAGACCAGTGGGAAGTGTTCTCAGAATCACTTGTATCGGGGGAGAGAACCACCGAGACCTTTGATGCTGTCGTTGTAGCATCTGGCCACTACTCCGTCCCATTCCTGCCCAATGTGAAGAACATTAGGGAGTTTAGCAAGGCGCACCCCAGCGTCATCACTCACGCCAAATTGTACCGGCATCCGGAGCAATACAGAGATCAAAAGGTGGTAGTTGTTGGCAATGCGGCTTCTGGTCTGGATATTGCTACCCAGATCAGTCGATTAGCTGCGAAACCGACACTGCTCTCGGCCCGTCATCCCACCCCCCCAGAGAATCTGGCTCATTCTGGCTGCGAGGAAGTCCCAGTCATCGAGGAGTTCCTGGTCGCGGAGAGGGGCGTTCGTTTCTCTGACGGTAGGATAGAGCGGGATCTAGACGCTGTCATCTACTGCACCGGCTATCTCTACACACTGCCCTTCCTGGAAAACTTGAAGCCGCAACCGGTGACCACCGGTCGCAGGATACATGGCATTTACAAAGACCTCATCCATATCGAGCATCCTACACTGGCATTCCCTGGACTCCCGATGAAGGTTGTGCCCCTCCCGTTCTCGGAGAGCCAAGCGGCCATCTTTTCACGGGTCTGGGCCAACGAACTCCAACTACCACCTGCAGACGAGATGAGACGGTGGGAGGAGGATGCAGTCAGTAGTAGGAAGGAGGGACCTCATGTTTATCCCAAGGGCGGCGATGCCGACTATATCAACGAGACACACGCCTGGCTGAAGAGAGCCTCCAGCAAAGGAAAAGAGCCACCCCTGTGGGATGAAGAGCTCTGCTGGGAGCGGACCATCTATGCTGAGGCAAAGTTGAAATTTGAGCAGACTGGCAGGACTGCCATGTCCCTGGGAGAACTCGGATTTCATTACACCCCATCAGCAAAAGACGAAGAGTCGAAAGAGATTTTGTAGGCTGCATTTCTCAAGCAGAGCTCAAGGTGACAACTCGACTCATCAATGACCACCCTGTAACAAATCCTGGCGATAGACCTGGGCTTTTTATATATCAAGATATGGGATCAGAGACCTCACAAGCGATGAAGTAGAATAAAAAACTCGCCGGATTACCACTCTGGCACCCCCCTCCTTTGTATGGTTATCGCAGTTGTTGCCTGAGAGTTGCGCTATCTTGCATGGGTTTGTTGACAGACCAATGGTGCACACTATTGACGCTATGAACTTCCTTATCTGTATTGGGCGCGCACCCCGTCACATCACCGACCGACCGACCCATTTCTTCACATTTGTAAGCCACCCCCAGAAAAGCAGACCAGCAATCTGGGCCTAAACCCAGGTAAGGATGGGGTAAGTGGAACATATCACATAGATAATGCATTCGAGATGTTCATCCATGCATCATCATCGGTGAAGAAGGCCAGGATAGAGAATCATTGACCAGGAATATACCGTGTTATTGCCTCTCTCGGTCGGGGGGATTACCGTTGATATCACCAGGCTGTAGCCTCCACTTACTCTGCTTGATCATGGCTTCATCGACCACAGATGGCCCAAAGGCCAGGGACGGCTCGGCCGATAAGCCTCTCCCGCTTGATATGAGCCACCACTTCTCGGAGACGACCAAGAATCGTCTTCCCAGTAAGATCAAGGAGTACTACAAATACTTTCAGATCCCGGGCATCGGTAACCTTGCCGGCGGTATGTTTGCCCTTTGAAGCACCATCATGGGAAACTCCCCATCCCATCAAAAGTCCCAATGCATCCCCAATCACAGGCAACTGACCAACGTCCACAGGCCTTCCCAACGTCCAATTCTTCCCCTTTGACACCCTAGAGGCCCAGACCGCCAAGCCGCAGCGATGGACGCCCACGCCGAACCAGCCCGGCGACGGCGAGCTGGTCGACAGGATGAGCTCGGCCAAACTGTCCTCCTCCTCCTCGTCCTCCTACGGCGACCCCGCGGCGGCGGCCTCGCACATCACCGTGCCCAAGACGGCCGACGAGCCGGACCTGCTCAAGAAGATCGACCTCGCCACGGCGCTGCAGTACGGCCAGGCCCAGGGCTACCCGCCGCTGCTGTCCTGGATCCGCCAGTTCACGTGCGAGCACCTGCACCCCGACGTGCCCTACCGGGGCGGGCCCGACGTCACGCTGACCGTCGGCTCGACCGACGGCTTCGCCAAGGCCCTCGAGGTGTTTGTGGACCCGTGGAGCGCGGCCCGGGGCGACGACGCGCGCGCCCGGCCCGGCCTGGTCTGCGAGCCGTTCGTCTACAGCAACGTGCTCGCGCAGGCGCAGCCCAAGGGTGTCCAGGCCGTCGTCGTCGAGGCTGACGCGGACGGCATGCTCGCCTACGGCGACGGCGGCCTCGAGGACGTCCTCTCCAACTGGGACGAGAGCAAGGGCATGAGGCCGCATCTGATGTACACCGTGACGTAAGGAACTCCCTCAAGACAGCCCAGCCGAGCACCAATCTCGTTTCCAAACTGAACTGACACGCCCATTCCCTTCCTCGCAGCATGGGCCACAACCCGACGGGCATACTCCTCGGCATGAAGCGCCGCCAGGAGCTCTACGCCGTCTGCAGCAGGTACGACGTCATCATCGTCGAGGACGACCCGTACTGGTACCTGCAGTACCCCTCCGCCGCCGCCGAGGAGGCCCGCTCGCGTGGCCTCGCCTCCCCGCGCCGCGCCGAGCCCTCGGACTACAGGGCCGCCAAGTCCTCGGGCTACCCCTTCCTCGACTCCCTGACGCCGTCCTTCCTCGCCATCGACGTCGACGGCCGCGTCGTCCGCCTCGACACCTTCTCCAAGACGGTCGCCCCCGGTTGCCGCCTGGGCTGGGTGACGGCGCAGCCGGCGCTGATCGAGCGCTTCGTCCGCGTCTCCGAGTCCGGCACCCAGCAGCCCTCGGGCTTCGTCCAGTCCGTCATCAGCGAGCTCGTCATGGGCGGCCCCGGCGGCGGCCGTGGCAAGGACCGCGCCGCCCCCTTCGCGGGCTGGAAGACCGACGGCTGGGTCCGCTGGCTCGAGGGCCTGCGCGGCGAGTACGAGCGGCGCATGCAGCGCATGTGCCGCACCCTCGACGACGGCAGCGTGCAGCTCAAGCAGGGCACGCCCCTGCGCGCCTGCGACGCCGACTGGGGCGTCGTGACCAAGACGCGGCTGCTGAGCTTCGACTGGCCGCGCGCGGGCATGTTCGTCTGGGTGCGCGCGCACTTCGAGTCGCACCCGCTCTGGCGGCGGCCCGCGCGCGACGGCCGCCCCATCGACGGGCCGGCCCTGTCCACGGCGCTCATGATGTTCCTCATCCGCAAGCCCTGGCTCGTGCTCGTGACGCCCGGGTCCATGTTCAGCGCCACGGACGAGGTCCGCCGCGAGCGCGGCTGGGCGTACTACCGCCTCTGCTTCGCCGCCGAGAGCGACGCCAACGTCGACTCGTGCTCCAAGAGGTTCGTCGCCGGCGTGCACAAGTTCTGGAAGATCAAGAGCGTGGAGGAGCTCGAGGATCTACTCGGCGACGCGCCCGATGCCGCCAGCGTACTGCCTGAGCCCGAGGACGGGGAGCAAGTCTTGGGCAATCTAGGAACTTTCCTAGGTTGCTGAATGAACACAATCAGGGAAAAGAGACGGGCACGGGCGTAGTGGGAACTGCAAAGACTGCGGCAACCATTTGGATGCAGCTGGTATAGGAAACCGGGACAATTGCGAGCACTTACGCAGATCTCATCATTTTCTATTACTAGGAGTTTCGAAGTAGTGTAAACGAAAATAATGATATGGACAAAAAAATGACAAGTCAACCCGCGCGGGCGCTGCCGTTCTTATGAGGTCTGGCAGGTAAGATGCTTACTTAGACTTGCCACACCAGTGACGAGCTGGAATTACGCAACCCGCTGTTATTCCTGAGTGGTCCTAGGTACGCTCATTATATCTCGTAGGAAAACCTGTTGCATCCTGTTGGAACAGACGCTGCCTTCTTGGGAAATTAGATCCCTATAATCTAAAACCCTAGTTCTAACAAACAAAATCATCGGGTCGGAGAAACACTGAAGGTGTTCCTACGGCTTCCGAGGAGGCGATTTAGGTACTAGAAATGGTGGCACAAATGTGTGATGGCTTACTGAGACAACATGCCGTGAAGCTCAAGAGATGGGTTATGTTACCGTATGTACAATCACTCCCGCTACGTTAACAAGTGAATGTGACAAGGGGAGTAGGCGCTTCATGGCAATCTTCGAGAGGGCATTGACCAAGCTTAGTGACTAGACAGGGTATATTTCACGATTGTTGTTCACGTCTGAGACCTCTAGCGATTTTGTGAAATGAAAATGTTTATCAATCACTTTCGTCGATGACGTGCCCTAGCACAGTCCAGAGTGTCCATTACGCCTAAACAGTCCATGCAATCCGTACCTCCTTCGACCGTAACCCCTTTTAGACCTCGTGCAGCAGCTCCTTCCACGGCTGAGGAACGTCCTTGGGCTTCTCGTTGTTGATCTTCTGCTGGCCAATCTTCTCCTTGTTGAAGGTGGCAGCGTAGGGGTTGAGGCGCAGAAGAACCTGCTTGTTGCGCAGGGGGTTCTTCTTCTGGACGGCGCCGCGCTTGGTGCGGGCCTCGCCCTTGGGCGCGCGCAGAACGCTCTGGATTTCAGAGGAGTTGATGAGACGGCCAAGGTCGGCCTGGGAGACAAGGTTGGACGGCAGGAGGAAGTCCTTCTTGAGCGTCGAGGGCTTGGTGGTGGTGCCGTAGACAGTGTCGAGGGCCTTGAAAGCACCAGAGGTCCAGACGATGAAGCGGCCCAGGTGGCCACCGGGGGCGAGCTGCAGGAGGTTGAGGGAGTAGACGGAGCAGGTCTCAACGCCGGGGATGTTGCGGAAACCAGTGACGAGCTCCTTGCCATCGACCTCGGGGTCGTAAATGACGAGGGGACCGCGGCGCTGGCGGTAACGACGGCCACGGAGCTTGCCCTTACCGGCACGGACCTTGCGAGACTTCTTGACCTTCTCGAGCTCGGCACCGGCGCCAACAGCCTTGAGCAGGCCAATGGCAGCAGAGGTTTTGGCGTAGGCAGCGTTGCTGAAAGCAGCAGAGTCGACGACCAGGGGAACCTCGGCGACGTTGGAGATCTTGTGGCCACGGGCCATCAGGAGGGGGGTGACGGCGGAGGCAGCAACAGCAGAGGCAGTAGCGAAGCGCCTAGATGGACAGTCAGCATCGAGTTTCTCTCCCTCGTGTCTCCTCTTAACGTCGGTTTCATGGCAAAACTCACTTCTGGCCCTGGTTGATCTTGATGTGCCACTTGCGCCAGACCTTGGTGGGAGCGAACATGCGACCGGAACGGCACATGTTACCGAAAGCAGCCTGACCAGCACGGTGGGTACCACCACCAGAAACACGGGGGATACGGGCAACAGCACGACCTGTAGACGTCCAGGATTAGTATATGTTGTTTCCCAAGAATTTCAATCCAACGGCCTCCGAGTCAACTCCTCGAGATGCGTATATGCTGAAGCCCATCTGCATGCTCTTTCCTTGGTGAAATTGGTCCTGTAGCCCATTCTGATTTGTGCCCGTCGTCCCTCCTCTTGTACGCAATCCCAAATTCGTGACCTCGGTATCTCGACTCGACACAATCGGGGTAGTACTGACCAGTTCCCCAAGACTCGGCAGAGGTCTGGTGACCAGCCTTCTCGCTGACGGCGTACGGCTGGCGCTTGTTCTTGGCCATGCCGGTGTGAACCTGCTGGACGATATCCGGGCGGATAGGGCTCAAGAAGACAGCCGGGATGGCGTGGGTGTTGCCGGTGGCAGCGCCATCGGCGCCGATGATGGTGACGGTCGGACGGGAGGCCATTGTATCGAGATTAAAGTCGGAATCTGTGAATCAGTGGAAGGTTAGTATCCTGGCCGGCGAGTCCAACTCGATATAATGGCAGGTTGAGAGGCTGGAAAGGGCGTACCTCGTCGGTCGTTGGGCGGCTCCTACAAATTTGTTTGTCGATGCGAAATTTCCACCTTCAAAATGCCTGCACTGGGAATTTCTCTTTTTTTCGTTTGTTCCGTGGGGTGGATGGACCCTAAGCGAGACTAGGCTCAAGGGAGGAAAGTGTGAAAGAGAATCCACGTGACCTGTTCAAAACCTCGAGGATTGGTGGTCCGTGCCTTCAGAACAGGGGAATCGCGATTAATTGTGGGGATCTCGTCTTCCTAGGCTCTCCTTACTTGCATACTCTACGCTCATCTCACAAAAGATCAAGCTCTGTCAGGTACACCTAACGATGATGACTTTATTACACACGTATCAACCGGGACAGACGCTCAGCTTCCAGGCAACTGGATAACTTTCAACTCATCTCATGCTTACACCGTTGCTCATCGATTCCCGCTCAGCTGCTGCGGCCAGTTCCCAGGACACGCCCCCGTGCAGGCCAGCCCCATCGTCGCCTGGTTCTGGATGTTGGAGCACAGCACCTTGGCCTGCCCGCCGCCCGCCAGCGGCCGGATGTCGACGCCCTCGAAGCGGAAGTTCCTGCACGGCGCCGCGGCGGAGCAGTGCATGCCCGCCGCGACGTTGTAGCGGCTCGTGCCCGTGACGTTGTACCAGCCGACGTCCTCGATCGCCAGGCGCGACCCGTCGCAGCCGCTGCCCGAGTAGGTGCAGGGCGTGACGTAGATGGGCTGGTTGACGTTGTCGCACGCGACGTTGCGGAAGGTGACGTTGCGCACGTGGCCCGCGCCCGGATAGGTCTTGATCCAGGCGGCGTTGGACGAGTGGTGGCAGGATATGTCCTCGAAGACGATGTCGTCGACGTAGTCGGGCTGGCCCGCGTTGGAGCCGATGGAGCCGACGCACGCGCAGCCGGACTCGTAGCAGGTCACGTTCTGGACGTGGACGTTCGTGCTGTTGCCCTTGATCGAGATGCAGTCCTTTTTGAGATGTCATCATGCTGTCAAAGTTTGCAAAGGGCACTCTCTAGAATGCTATTACTCACGTCGCCGCACGTCACCACCCAGTTCTTGATAAAGATGTCCCTCGAGTTCCAAGAGTCGAACCCGTCCGTGTTGACGGCCGAGTTGGAGTTGCTGCTCGTCGTGTTCATGTCGAGGTTGGTCATGGTCACGTTGCGGCTGTGCGCCACAAAGGTGTGCCAGAACTGGCTCTGCCGCCAGGTGATGCCGTCGATGGCGACGTTGGTCCCGCGCCACACCGTCAGGCTGATCGGCCGCCCGTTCATGTTGCTCCCGCTGCGGTTCCGGTCGATCCACACCTGCCCGTTGCCGTTGAACAGCGCCCGCCCGTGGCCCCGCACCGTCACGTTGGTCCCGCCCAGCAGCCAGGCCGTCGACCGCCCCGCGTACGTGACCGGGAACGTCCGCCGGATCCAGTAGTCGAGGTTGTCGGCGCTCCACACAAACGTGCCGTAGATGTCGATCTCGCAGTTGCGCAGGTCCGTCGTGTTCATCACCTGCCGGATGTTGTACGTGCCCTCCTCGAACACGATGCTGCCTTCCTTGCCGCACTGCCGGAACGCCTCGAGGATCTGCGGCGTGTCGTCCGCCGCCGCCGCCAGCGCCGCCTCGGCTGCGCTGGTGTCGCGCTTGTCCTGCTGCTGCTTCTGCGCGATCATGTCCGTGAGCGCCACGTCGCTCGGGGCCTCGGGCCGGTGCGCGTACGCAAGCGCTTCCTTGCTGCCGGGCTCCGGCCGTGGATAGTGCTCCGGGCTACCGTTGGGTCCGGGAAGATAGCGGTCGCCTACCGGCGATCGCCGCTCCAGGTCGCCGCCCGACGAGCCTTCGTCGCGTCTCACGACCCTCGGCTTGGGACTGGCCGATAGTGGCGTGACTGTGCATGCCGTGCCGCGCTTCTCGATGGCTGCGAGGGCTGTCGACCCCAGGAGCACCACGATTCCGAGAGCCTTGGTGAGATACATACCGGGGGAAACCTTGTAGGCACAATAGCAAAGGTGCTAGGCTCCTTCGATGCTGCCCGGAAGTAAAACCGTTTCCCGCTGTTAGGGATAGACGGAGGCGTGATCAAGCCCTTATGATACGGTTTGATCTTGAGACCATGCTTTCCTCCCAGCGTCGGATCGTAGGTCTCAATGTTCATTTTTGCCGGATGTTGAATACAAACCTTGATGAGGGGGGCCTCTGAGCAAACACCTACTACCTAGCATTCACAAGCATTGCCAAGGTAAAGTCCCTATATTTCACCGTGAATGCTACTAGATGGAATCTTATTTGCCAAGCAGGCACTCGGGCGTTCTGTATGGTGGAAGATTTCTGGCTTCCGTGGGACCTACATATCAGCCGGACGCAAGGTCGCATTGTCAAGGAGAAAAGACCTTTGTGCAGACCCGGGGAAAACACATCAAGAAAGGGAGCGGGCGCCTCCATGATTCGGCAGTTGGCTAACCAATATTTTTATATAGCCGGTACTATGCCCTGTGTGAAGCCTACGCCATAATCATAATACGACGCCTTGTCCATGCCGAGAGCCGTCCACCCGGAATCGCAATCCAAAAAAAAAAAAAACCCCTAGTTTGTTTAGTGATACATGCGGCGCTCTTGTGTAGCCATGATAAAACGTCCAGTCATGAATAAAGTCATCACTTCATGAGCTCCCAAACCGCCCGGGTCTATCATTCGCATCGTTTCCACTCCTCAAGGAGGCGCTTGACCTCTTTGCTCCGAGCGGAACTCGGGGGAGCCTTGTCCAATCTGTCCAGGCGCTTGAAGATGTCCATCTCCTTTGCTTCTCTCTCAAAGAACTTCCCTTCCAACAGCGACAAGTCATCCTTGCGATAGGCTCTCTTGAAGACGTCTCGCATCCTCGAGGAATAGAGCTTGCACTCGGCCTTGGGCAGGACCTGCGGCGCGGGGGTGAACTTGATCGCCCCGGGAGGGTAAGCGTACATTTCGGGGTAGATGACTTCGTGGTAGCATTCCTCGCACACGGTGAACCGGGGCATCGAAGTCAGTAGATACCACTTTCTGCTCTCAACCGGGTGGTCGCCAGGGCACTTGTGGGGTATCGCGATCTGCTTGAGCCTCTTTGCCAACTGCCCGACGTCGATCGTGGTCTTGGACTCGACCGCCTTGTCCGAAGCGGACTCGAGCACGTCAAAGTACTCCACAAACTTGTCCATCTGCGGGGTGAAATGGAGCGAGCATGATCGGTAGTCCGGGTCGGGGCCGGCCATGGGGCGCAGCACGCCGGTAAGGTTCGGGAACAACATCTCCACCGACTTGGTGCATCCAGGGCAGACCCTCAAGTCAGGCACAGGCTTATTCGTGCGGGGATCGATGACAGTATGCCAGGTAGTGCGATCGTTGAGGGGACATTGCGGGTACTTGGCCGTCACATCAGCAATGCCCTTGAGATAGCGTAGGTCTGGAACGTTGTATTTCTTAGTCATGAGCCATGCAATCCGATACCACAGAGAGGTCCCCAGATCACACGCTATCGGCTTGTCGACAGCCCGGAACGGCGCCGGAACTAGTTGGTGCTGATACGGAGTGGAAACGAATACAGCATGATAGCAAGTGGGACAGACATTGAAGCTGTCGCAACGCGAGATAGTAAGCCAATCGTGTCGACCGGCCTCGGGAGCCATCCTGGGACATGTTGGCATATCAGCCACATTGCCCTCGTGGACATCTTCGGAGTATCGTCTGTAGGAGACGATCGGCTTGTCCAGAGATACACCGCTGTCTAGAGGGTTGAATGCAGGAGGTTGCCAGGGAATTTTGCTTGAATCTTTATCCCCGGAGCCTTGGCGCGAGTGCGCGGGCGGCGGCATCGGCGAGTGCCTCCTCTCAATAGGAGACTCGGGGAAACTGGGCAGTACGGCAGGAGCTGCCATAGCAATCGCGGCAGCACCCGCAGCAGCAGCGCCGGCATTGAAGCTTGGTGCGCGGGATCTAGGCTTTGGATGCCCGTCGCCCGAACCCCGCGACCCATTGCGAGATGAAGAAGATGCAGACGAGAACGGAGATACCGGCCTTGGTTCATGCTTCTCCTTGGAAGGAGTCGAGAACGTGACCGAGCTCCTTGGGTTTGGCATCTCAGGGAAGTAGCTTTGTGACACTCGGGGCGACGCCAGAGGTGTAGTTTGCCGCGATGACAGAGTGCCTGATCTGGGTCTCATCGGCGGCAGAGCGGACTCCGGGCTCAACAGGTAATTGCGATCATCCTGGTTGAGGAAAGAAGTTCCCCTATCACGGTGTGGCCGGTGGATACTCAAGTCGTCGTCACTTGAGTCGTCGTAACTATTCCGGGTCGTGTTCGGGCTCCTTGAATGCCTCGAGTCTCGCCTTGAGGACTTGTCTCGATCTCCATAACTGCGGTGTGGTGGTGAAGACGCCCGGCGTTCGATTGGTGGAGGCGGGGAGCGTCTCGGGTCATAGGATGAGGACATCCCGCCATGGAGGCTGTTCCGGCTTGCACGCGGGCTCTCTGCCAGCTCATCCCGGCTGCGGCGTTTGACCGATGGTCTCCTGGAAACCTGTGGCACCTCAATTGCCGAGGTCGAGCGCCTGGGACCAAGAGGACCGGTGGACGGCGCCAGCCTTTCCCGCCGATCGTAGTCGTGACGGTTAGAAGACCGCCGATCCTCGGAGGTCACACGGTTGCCACGGTCAACGGATGTGCGGCTCTCATGAGGAGATCGACTGAAGTCCTGATACGCCCTATAGCGCCCGTTGGTCGAGTGTTTGATCACCGATGGGGAGAGAAACTTGTCAGCGGACTCATGGGTCTCGGAGGAGTCCCGTCTATCTCTCGGCGGCTGGTCGACATGAACCTCGGGTTTCTCCCGGCGCTCTCGGTGCGCACTGGATGGGCGGCTGGACTCCTGGAATTCTGTGTCTAGACGAGGTAGATCCAAGCGGCTTCTTCGTCGTTTGATCTCTGCTGGTGGAGGGATACCATTGTTGTCGTCAATCCGCGAGTTGCTCACTTTGCGGCCGGTATTGGCCGAGTAAGAACCGCCCGTGGGGGTCTGCTCGACCTCGGCGGCCGGAGCATCGCCGTCCGTCTGCAGGATCACGAAGCGTCTCTCGGGGTTGTTTTCGTGGACATTTTCGAATATGGGTTGCTGATCGATATCTCCAGGAAATTTGGCTTCCTCCTCTGGGAACGAGCTGGGCTTTGCGGTGGCACTGTACTCTCGCTCTAATGACGCCGTCTCATCTTCCACAATGGGGGGCCGGGAGCGTTTGGGAAAGTCGCAAGAGTCAAAGGCAAACGACCTGGGAACGTGCGGCCCAAGCTTGACACCTTGATTGGGGCGAATGGGAGGATTGTCGAAGCTGCTCGGCGACAAGCTATTAGACACCGGAACTCCCAGGTACTCGGGGTGGACGAGAAGAATAAGAAGGCAATGCTTACCGTTGCGGACTCTTTGCCCTCGACGTGGACCAATGTCCAGTTTTCAAGAGATCGTCAATGGCCTCCGGCATGGTGGGCGATTATTATTCAACAGAGCAATGAAAGCAGACAACAGGCCGCAAGATCAGGAAGATGGAGGCATGCTTCTCCGGGGAGGCGTCCAGCACACACGGATGCCTCAAATACGGGATGCTACGCAGCAGCCTGCCCTACAATTGCCTGGTTTTTCTTTTTTTTTGCCTTGACCTTGGCCTTCCGTGCTGTCTGGAATGAGTTGTATGAACTGAGCTGTGAGATTTTCACTGAGGGTGGCCGCGCGAGGTGTACTTGTAAGCAGCAGGGCGAGCTCGATGCATGGGAAGCGGGGCGGATGTAAGCAGACAAATGAGGCGGGGAATTTCCCTGGTGATCGACGTTGCCTGGGCAGACAGATCCGACGCCCGAGAAAGGACTGCTTGGCGTTTGTCAAAGAGAACTGGAACGCGGAACTTTTGGGGAAAGGCTCTCTCTTCGGAGATGTTACGGCTTTTATAGAGTACAGGCAAGCGGCGTGGGCGTGTCAAGGAGAGCGTGCGTGAACGAGTGAGAGGGCGAGAGGATGTGAGACCCGACTGACTCTTGCTTTGAATGAAAGGGCAGCAGCAGTGGAGCAGAGGAATCGGTAGCTCAGTGACACGGTGGAAGGACGACGGCGGATGGCAGATGGAGAGTGTGTCGTGTCTGGTGTTCTGATTGCACAGCCTGATCGATTCTCACGGGAGGTCTGGCCTGGCTTGGGCTCTTGGTCAAGGTAGATTTAGATGGGTCCCATGACATAGCGTACACAGGCGACAGCACAGTGTACGAGAGCGGAGGGGCGATTGGAGCAAAGTGGCGCAAGGGGTTTGCAGTGGTGGTTCTTTTTGGGGGTGGGAGAAAGAGAGAGAAAGATGTGAGAGATCATACAAAAGTCCAAGTCCAAGTAGTGGTGGGTGGGAGGAGTGGTGGGGGGGCGGAGACGGGCCTTGGGCGGCGGCGTGGACGGGCAGTCCCATGGAGGGCGCGGCTTAGAGCGGGCGGTCCCACTGGGCGGGACTGGTTGGGTAGCGTGGTAGCAGCATCTTTAGCGGCAATGTAGGTGATTCTACAAGTACAGCCGGTGCGCAGCTGGTTGGATCGGGTCCATCTTCTGCTCGGGTCTAGCTGCCAGCGACTCCAGCTCCTTACCTTGTACAGTTGCTAATGCTGCATCCATCTCTTCATCTGTGCTCGCTTCATCATGCCTCAAGCTCCCACTCAAGTCCCGGGTCTCTGCATAAGGATGTGGCATCCCGTCTTCCGTCCAACCTCCATAGAGGAACTTGCATTGTATTGTGGGCGCCCACCACCCTTCTCGCTTCTTGAACGTACATACATTATCCTTGACCGCCTGCTACAATCATGCAACTTTGCTTCTTGCCCGTCTGCCCGTCTGCCTTTGGTAGGTGCACACGTGAGTCTCCCGGCCATGGCAAACAAGCGATGACTCTTTGTCTCAGGCCAATCTGGAGACCAGGCCGTGGAATGTCGTGACGCGTGGCAGCAGACTGTTTGACGAGGACTAAGCAGTGGTGGTGGCAGCCACCAGGACGGGAGCAAAAAGGCCGCCCTGTCAACCACTTCTTAGCCAGGAACAAGTCAGCATTTAGACGTCTTTCTACTCTGGGTGCTGATGTCTGGAAATTTTGGTACCCTCCAAGACGATGGCGCCTAGCTCGTTGAACGGCCGTTAGAGGACGATCTTCCGTAACAGCCGTCATTGACCTACTTACTCACTAGACTAGGTGCCTCGGCGTGCGTGGCAACCCACATACCCCATTTTGGTTCTGGTGGTGGTTGCTCGAGGCTTCAGGGTTTCAGGTTGTTCCCGGAGGGTGAAATCTTCTTCTACGGAGTACCTACCTTCTGATTTTTTTTAGCATCAGGTCAACGGCACAGTATACGCATCCAGTGCGCAATCCCCATCGGCTGCTGGTGTGAACTTTATCCTCGAAACTATTGGATATCTGAAGCACGCCATGAAAACGGCCCTCGGCAGTTCACACGCCGGTGGACCTTGGATTCGTCGACCTTGCGTCTCAGGGAGTAGTCGAACGCCTCGTTTGTCCGGGGCGCACGCCTCTCACTCTCACACCGAGGCCGCTCCTGGAATCCGCTGTACTGTACGACCGAGTCCAGCACTACCCGTTTCAGGCGACCGATTGTCACCTGTCGTAGGCACAGGATTCTCCCTTGAGGTTAGCAAACTTATGGCGGCTTGAGGGGCTTGGCCTCTGCCTGCGCGTAACCACACCCTTTCCCCTCGTCGTCCAATCCTCTCGCACACATGTCCATGCCCAGGTCCTCCCTTGCGAGGCCAATTCAGCCGGGCTCGTTGCCCTTCAACCAGACTTTGATACAATTTCGGCTACCAATCAGGATTTTGGTAAGGGACTTGTGGTCGCTCAATCCAGACAAACCGGCTCCGTATGGCCGACCACATCACCAGAGTCGGGCGTTTCCCGCACACCACCCTTGCGGACGCCACCGCAACCATCATCACCGCCTTTTACCTCGTCCTCTGTCACGCCGTGGAACTGGCTGCCTCCAATACGCGCCCTATTAGTGAGGAGGGATCCTGTCGCCTAGCTCGCCTCCGCTCGGCGAATCAGCAATCCTTGATATCTGTCCCTGTCTACATTATGCATCGTGCATAGATCGGCCGTGTCGTATATCTCATGTGTCGACGTGAGCATTTGTACTTGGCAAGATCGGTAACAGAGAAGTGTATATGTCCTCCGCTCCGCTGACGAGAAGCAGTACACACAGCTCCAAGTGCACGCCAGCAAGGGGCCATGTCTCGGGCGAAAGGGGTCTCAGACCACCAGCCACAACTGTCTCATCCTTTTTCTCAGCCTCTTGAAGACGAGGCACGTTATTTACGACGTCATGCTCAGGTCCAAGACCATGATTGGAAGGCCTGAAGCTTTCCAAATATAGGTATTCTGGCTTTTGAAGTGATCCTCATCGATGACTCCAGGGCAGGGTTCCAAAGGGAGTCAACAGTGCTGACACCTCCGGTGACTTGCAAGCCTCTTCGTTATCAGCGTTAACGACAGACTTGTACTCTGTCGGTGGAGTGCACCTTTCCTTCGAACGAAATACAACTATATCCAAGGACAACCTGTGGTAGTGAACGTGCTGTCACAATCTGATGAGGTAGGCCATAGTGCAGCACCACTGGTGATTGTACCAAGATTCTGCCAGGGTTGACTGTAATGCTGCCCAATGTTCCCATGCCTGCAGATCAACCATAGACATAAGCACAGTATTCAAACATCTTAGGCAAGCGAGGAACAGCGCGTCCTATTCTGTTTCTGTTTCTCTGTTTATTTCATGCTCCTACACTCACAAGTACAACAGCCACCTTGGCTGAATCATCCCATCCCGCATTAACTATTCTCGCATTACGTTACACTGCACACCACATCGCACAGGAAGATATTCAGGCGTATGTCCACACGTAATACCACTAGATCGCCCTGCTCAAGTGATTCGTCGAGGATGTCGATGCTTGCTTGATGCTCGTACTGGCTGTGGTTTGGAGTTGCTCATGCTGCCTAGGTCGCTATTGTTGCTCGACATCTCGTGGTATCACCGCCAAATGGGCGGAAGCTTACTCCGGACCCCTTAGATCAAAGCAATAGGTTCTACAAACAGGAGGGTTTGTATGTGATCAGGTCCATGCTCCTTCCTGAATGACCACCATATGACGATGGAAGCTGCGGCATGTCTATCGTTACTGGAAAAGTTCTTCCGATATGGTACATCCCTCACCATTCAAGATTGCAACGTGGTGGAAACACATAAACTTGTCAAACTTGAAATCTTTAGGCATCCTCCGAAGGCACGAAGTCTGATCAACAGATCAAGTTCACTGGGCGCCTGCTTGTCTCGATTCCCAGCTCCAATGCGATAGTCATACGACAGATTTTCGGAGCTACTGGTGGTGGCCCTGATCAAGCTCGGGCGTCCCACTTGGATGTATAACGTCTCCCGGTGTGAAGGTGAGAGGGAACGAATGGCTCGGCGATATAACAAATCAACAATCGGTGTACATCTCTGCAACAGAGACCAGCACAGATCAGAGCTCTGTCAGACTGGATGACCCCAGTCAGCCGCCCAAATATTCTTATGGTTGGCATGAGGGATGGAGAAACTTGGAAGGCGGCCATAAACCTCCTCGACCGACAATTACATGAAGAGAAGGGGGTCACAGGAAATGCCAGCTGTAAACACAACCAATGGTGCGTTCTCGAGGAAACAGGTGAGGTTCGAGGTTAAAGCAAAGAGCTCTATCCTGGTTTCAATGCTTTTCTCGATTGACTTGGTCGTGTATGCCGTCAAACAAGCCCACCCGCGAACACATTTTGCGAGATCCGAGCATAATCACCGGTGTTTGGACATGCTATAAGCGGTGTTGTTGATTTTATGAAGGATGAAGCTTACTTAGCCAGATAGCCTCTCTTATAATCGATATCTCAGGGCAATTGTAGTCCATTGCATCCTCTAGAGAAGAGCTCCCGATTCATTTTCACACCAGCGATTTGCTAGGCATACAAGTAATCAATTCACGGTGGAAGTTTCGCCGAAGCAGCGCCCCTAGACATCAGAGGTGCTTCACGCAGCAAGATGACCCTGTTGAGAAAGGCTCAGCTTCAGCACGAGCACACCTGATACTGAGGAGGCATTTCCACGACCCTGCACGTCCGCAGAGCGGTTTATCAATTGAGCAATTTTGACAGGCTGCAGCCAACCTGGAAGATGCGAGGTCGAGATTTGGCCGAGACGAAAAGCGGGAAGGGGGGTGCGGCAACGCGGCTTATTCCAGGGGACAGAGACAGCGGCCCTTGTCCGGTACAGGCCTAGCCCGGCGGATTGACAGGGGCATCGCGAGGCAGGCCAAGGCCCGTACGCCCGCCATAGGCGCATCCAGGGTCCCCGCAATGACGACATAATCAGGAGGGGTAAATATGAAGTCTGTACAAGTAGGTTCCGTCTGCTGGGCCGCAGAGATTCCATTCCTCTCGTAACGAATCTCCAGGTTCCGGCCGATTCTCTTGGCCGGCGGATGTTTCTCTACAAGCGCAGTGAGAACTGACATGAAAAGCAGATAAGGACAGGAATCGAGAAGCAAGGTGGGGAGGGGGGACGGGTAGCAGCAGCACATGGTTGTCTAGGTGCCGAGCTTCTTTCGAAAAATAGACTCATATTAATAACGCGAGACAAGTCCCCAGTTGATCAATTTGTCGATCGATCTCACCCTTCCCCCAAGGTTTGGCCAATCTTGACAACCTTTTCTCCACGTTTCAATTCTCCGCGAGAACCACAAAAAGCCGCACCTCGCTGGCCAAATCTATCTATCCACCTCAGGAACACAATTGACCCTTTTGATCGAAAGAATCAAGCCCACCAAAACCATCACACGTCCGGACGAAGAACCAAGCTTCGACACAGCAAATCCACCATGGCGCCGCGCAACATCACCACCCTCCTGTTCGACTGCGACAACACGCTCGTCCTGTCCGAGGAGCTCGCCTTCGAGGGCTGCGCCGACCTCATCAACGAGATCTGCGAGAAGCACGGCCTGCCCGAGCGCTTCACGGGCTCCACCCTGATCAAGGAGTTCGTCGGCCAGAACTTCCGCGGCATGATGACGTCGCTGCAGGAGCGCTACGGCTTCACCATGGCCGACGCCGAGCTCGAGGACTACGTGCGGCGCGAGGAGGACGTCGTCATCGCCAAGCTCAAGGCCCACGGCCTGCCCTGCCCGGGCGTCGACGACGTGCTGGCCAAGCTCGAGAGGGAGAAGAAGTACGAGATGGCCGTCGTGTCGTCGTCGGCGCTGCGCCGCGTCAAGGCCAGCATCGAGAAGGTCGGCCAGGACAAGTTCTTTGGCGACTCGGTCTTCTCGGCCGCCACGAGCCTGCCCAAGCCCACGAGCAAGCCCGACCCAGCCATCTACCTGCACGCCATGGAGGTGCTCGGCAAGAAGGCCGACGAGTGCGTCGCCATCGAGGACAGCAAGAGCGGCACCCTCAGCGGCGCCCGCGCCGGCATCAAGGTCGTCGGCTACGTCGGCCCCTACGAGGACGACAAGAGGGCCGAGATGGAGAAGGTCCTGAGGGACGCCGGCGCCGTCGTCGTCATGCAGGACTGGGCCGAGTTTGAGTCGTGCCTGAAGCAGATTGAGAGCGGCAGCGTCTAAAACCAGAATTTCTGCTTGGCCCACCTCTCTGTCTTGCCTGTTTTGCATATTGGAGCTGTAGCGACGGATCTTCACAGCGAAGGCTCTACCCCCCCTTTTTTTTTCTTTTTTTGGGCAGTCATAAAGAACCATCATCCTATAGAGTGGACCGTAATCTCAACATAGATGAGGACACCTTGGATAGAACCTTTTATATCTTAGATAGCCCTGGATAGGGGCTAATGAAACGAATCAACGCCAGTCCATGAAAAAACTGTTGACGCTTTGCAATGTGGCTCTGTTCGGGTTCGCCTCGGGCATGGTCGTCATGATCTTGCCCAGGCGCACCCTGATCATGTCCTTGTTGAACCTCTTCTCGGCGCTGGGATCCCGTACGTTGCCGCCATCGTCGAAGCAATAGCAGAAGAGGGCAAGGGCCACTCCCACCGATATGTCTCTGCCGCTCTCGCACGTCACTAATATCTGCCTCTGATCGTCTTCCCCGGGACTCGGGCTGTCCTTGGACAGGAACTCGGATACGAAGGAGCAGATCTGAGGCAACGCCGGGCGAAGGTTGCGGCTCGCGACCTTGTGCTTACCCACACCAATCCGCATATGTGATCCGGACTGAACCCAATCCTCCGCCTTGGTGGCCTCGGGTAACAGTTCGATGCGACAACAGTGAGGGGAGCCAGCCGTCTTCTCCGTCGTCAATCGCCCGACGCTGATGTATTTTGTAAGTCTCGTGGTGCCGCCCGCGTCTGTCGATCCACCCGACGACTCTGCTGCCGGTTGAGCCACCAGGCGAGCAATGATACCAGGCAGGTCGCCCTCGGGCGCGGCGAGGAGCTCCTCCGCGTGCGCCCACCACAGGGGCGCCGTCAGGCCCAGCGCCCAGTTCTCGGTGTCGTCCCCGGCGCCCTGGATGTACCCGCCCTCGCTCATCTCCGTGCCCTCAACCCTGCGCGAGCTCGTGCAGCAGACGACGGGGTGGAACGAGGCGAAGATCTCGTCGTCGTCGTCCGCGGGTACCAGGCGCGTCTCCTGCGTGACCCACATCGGCCGCAGGGGCTTCTCGACCCGGGCTCGGAGCGCCGCGGCGTCGATCCCCAGCCTGCGGAAGGACTCGACGAAGCCGGGGATCCTGGCGAGCATCTGGCTCTGCTCCGAGGAGGACACCGCGTTGGGCGGCACGTAGAGGTTGTGCAGCGACGGGTCATCTGGGAAGAGGACCCGGCTCAGGACGCAGCACCATATAGGCACTGTTTTGCTCAGTGCGTCCGGCATCCCTGGTATTTGTGTCAGCCCCTGAGCCGAGATGACGTGGGGCAAGAATGGCCCTTGTGTGTTCCAAACTTACGTTTGCCCCGGCGAGTCGAGTCTACAATAATGCAGCTGTTTCGACATCAGGATGTGAGCTCGCGCCGCTTCCTATCACGGGCTTGTCGTGGCAAGGGGGGATCGCACACACTCACCCATCGTGCTCACCGATCAACGACAGGAGATGCAAGTTGAGCCTCCGGGTGCTAAACTTCCACTGGCCGGTGTGGCCGTCTGTGGACTTGAAGTAGGCCGATCCGGCCTTGGACGCCGGGGCGACATACCAGCTGCCGCAGCGCTCGTTGGCCACCAGCGGCCGGCCGAGGGCTGCCGCTACCTCGTCCACAAAATCGGCATCCTGACGGATCGACGATAAGCGGTTCGATATGGAGAGGTTGGACCGTTTGAGGTCGGCGAGGATGCGCGAGAAGTTGTGATTCGCCTGATCCGAGAAGACCAGGTCGGCAGCACTGATGTCGGACATTCAGCGAGAATGAGGTGTATGCTCTGGGCGGATAATGTCAAATGCGAGTAACGAAAACAGATTAGAGTCGGTAACTACCTTAGATAATTTTCAATTTGGCGCGGTACGTGCTTGAGGAATTGATGGCTGTTCTTTGAGGCTGAGCTGCTTCCAATTTCCGCTGGAACATTTCGAACCAGGGCTTCCAGAATTTTCGTCCCAAGCCGCTGCAGTCTAGTGAGGATGCCGGGTTCGAGACCCAGTAATTCGGTTCCTTGGCCCCCAACGGGCGCTACCATCGGCCACTAAACCTCTTTTAGTTGCTGATCTACAGGCCTGGTCTTTGTCGCGAACTTGGGATGAAGTTGAATAGTTGACCAAGTTTGGAATTGCGCAGCAAGAGGCAACTCAGTTATGCTGTGTTTCAAAGTATATCTGGAAATGTTTCTGCAGGAACTCGATTGAGCTTGTCTATGTACTGGTAGCTGACTTGGGCCAAGCTGAAGCGACTGGTAGTGGTCAATCGTGGTAACCATCTCTTCCAAAGCATGCCCTATTCCTACGTTTGTGTCTGGCGAAAAGGAAACCGAGTTCAGACCCGAAAGGAGAAGCCATGACACAAAATTTAGTCGAGGACTCTCCTAGTGTGGATGCCGTGTTATTCATTTCATTGTCGTTAAGCGCATCAGTTGGTCGTCCTTTGTGATTCCTCCGCGGATCGACTGTCAGTGGGAACTGGGAAAGACTGCTTACAACCCACATCATTCCTGCTAACTACCTTACCTAACGACCACGAATGCCTACACACTACCTAGGTAGGTAGGTAGTGAAATGGAAATTCTAACAGCGCGGAGCTGACGTGAAAAACAGGCCAAGTTCTACTCTTCTCTCCCTGGACATCGTTGGCAGGTCCATGGAACATGTTAGGTGTCTAATACGGCTTGGTCTCCCGATGAGGGAAACTCCTCCGCCGCCTCCAAGGCAAGACTTGTAGCATCTCTAGCTACGATGGGAATGTCCCAAGACTTGGAAAATGCCATGTCAGCGGGATCCGCCTGTCATGGTGTACAAACTAGGCAAATCGTGCGCAGAGCCACGGTCGTGTTGTACACAACAGGCTGCAAGGACAGGCATCAGTTACTGCGTTGTTGCTTGTTGTGGAGAAATGTAAGCTGAGCTCCCGCGGCATGCAGGCGGTAAAAAGACCAGATGGGAGGGAGAAAGAGGGTTTGCGCCAGTAGAAGCTGAGAAACGCCATTCTTCAGCCCTGTCAATCTCTAGGTTTAGAACACAAGTCGAACCGGCTCGATACCCGTGGCCATCAGAACCTTACCGCACTTGGCCGATGCGCCGCCACCTTGTCTGTCATCGAAAAGAACGATGGAAGTTGCCGAAACGGGTCATATCCTTCGGCCGTTTTTGTGACATCAAGTTCCTCCGGCTCCGCGCCTCGTTATCGTTTGCTTCGACTCCCGATTTGAAGAGAGGCAGGAATCGGGGGAACAGCCCAGAGATTTAGTCGCACAGCGTTTGGCCTCGGCCGGCAACATTTCATCCATCAGCTAGGCTCAAAGAGAGTTTGATTTTCCCACGCGCATCTACAGGAGCTTTCGGCCCGTTTTGCTACTACACCTTTTTGTCTGAACCCGCGCGCCGTGAGCTTTTTCCAATCACACCTCCGGGGATGCACCGGGCCACATCCACAGCACCTTTCGCCTCCCTATCTGGGTAAAACACGCGCCTTCTTCTCAGCACTTTAAATATATAAATGTAAAGATAAAATCCCGAGGTTGGTCGTCGATGGGTGAATCGTCTTGATTTTCCAGGAGGGAACGTAAGGAAGCGCATCCCTGGTCGATCAGGAGCGGAACGCAATACTACTGGTTACCGGGGATCTCTGAAGAGTACACCCGCTTGTCATCAAGCCCGTCTGACTCAGACTGAGCACTTGCATCGAGGTTGCTGTCCGGGAACCGTGGTTGCGCTGTTCGCAGACATGCCTGACCCTCCGTGGTAATCATGGAACTGCGACAGCACATACAAGGTACACATGGAATCGACGGTAAACACAAGATTTGTCGCTGGCGGTGGGCGTCTGGCACCTTGGTGTACACGCCGTGGAGATCTTTGTAGCGTTTCGTCAGCAGCTGACGCTGCTATGACGAGTGCCCTTACCGGCAGTGAAAGACACTATTGTCTTTCTTTTCTCTATTCTTTCCGCCGCATCTCCTTTGCGAGATACGAACAACGTGAAATGGTTCCGACATTGGGGGTCGGCCCACCGCGGCGGCCCCGATCGATCAACATCAAGTGCGTGCGGGAGGGAGCGTCAGCACAGCCCCCCCGGATGTGGAGGGCGCCCAGAAAACCCACCCCCACCGAAAGTGCAAGGCAGAGGCAAGGCAGAGCTTTGTGCAGTGAACTTGCCTGGCGAGCGAGCATTTGGGTAGCGTACCCAGGACCGAAGCTGCAGTCAACCGTGACCGCTTGTCCGACCATGTCGATGCTCTCCTTCTAACCGAACAGGGTGTGCTCCTCCGTGCTAACCCTAGCAGCATGCATCATAAGCGTTCCGAAACAGCGGGATGCCTCCCCTCAATGACCTTGCCTCATATCATCCAATGTGACATTGCGACGTTGTCCCGACGATCTCTCAGACTTGTGAATCTTGCTTGCCGGCAGTTGGTGAGAAGGAGTGCAGAGTCTTCCCGGAAAGAGGAGGAAAGGAGCGGCATCTCTTCTCCTTCCTAACTATGACACTAGACTCACTGCCTTCGGGTCAACATATGCCGGGCGTGGATTGCTCCGGGCGTCCGTTTCGGTCGGAGAGTTAAGATCAAATGGTTTTCCCAGCACAAAGGCAGGTGAGACCCGGGCGCCACTGTGATCCGTCGCAGGCTCAGGGGCTGTCAGGATCCCGAGCAGAACCCGTGGAAGGGTTTTTCTCTTTTTCCTTTTCCACAGTACAAGTGCGTGCCCAGGGCCGACTAGTCGGACGCCATCAAGAGGGCCAAATGGGTCAAATCATGCGTGATCGAGGAGAAGAGCAGGCGTCGGTGGCCTCTTCACGAGCCTGATTGGAGAATCAAATGAGGGTCCCGCAATCTGGCCGCCATGGGACTGTCTGCAAGTCAGAGGGAATAGCGGCGACCAGCACAACCCCTGAAGCGATGCCTGGCTAGCGCGCCAAATGGGGCAGTCGTGTCGCCACGGTAGGGCTGAAGATGGAGGCAGTGGAAAGGGTATGTGTATGGACTGGACTGCATGTAGTTATGGTGTGTGTACCGTACCTATCATGCACGCAGTAAGGAGGGACTCATCTTCGGATGGGCTGGCGTCGTCACGTCGCTGGCTACGTGCTTGACCGGGGGGGAGTCAGTGGGCTACTAACCCCCATCTTGGAATGTCTATCCCGCTCGTGCAGGCCCTTTTGCATGCAGCAATTGGCTGTCAGCAAATTCCGCAATGAAACCAGTCAGCCAATGGATCGCCGAAAGTCGGTGTAGGGGCGACATCCTGATTCTCGGTAGGTAGGGCTGAAAAGGGGGGGGAAGTCATGGTCTCATCCCTCCGGAAAAGCTCTCAGACCTCTGAGTGGTAGAGAGCGTCGCAGGCCCTGGGTTTGACCTCATCTCTCTCTCCCAACCATCAAACCCCCAGTCCAGATTTCGGCGCCGTTTCGTGGGGTTCATTCCAAAGAGATTGAAGTCGTCATTTAAAGCGTTGCGGGTAGCGGGCCGCAGAATCACCGTTGGCTAGTGCTAGATCAAGCAAATGACAACCTTGGAATTAACTGAACAAGGGGAGAGCCAGCGTCGGATGTGCGGCAGGAGATGGCTTAATCAAATTCGCAGCGCCCAATGATGTCGATGAAGCATTGCCTACCTGCCTCGACGCATGCCTCGGTCGCCAGAATTAGAACAACGGTACAGTGCCTGTAGTCTGAGGTGTGTCGTTGATGGTGTCTGCCTGTACAAGTAAGTCATGCATCAACCATCCATCCTCCCACGTCGTCAAGCGTTGCTCTCCCCCCATCCCCGCCGTTCCCCGGGCGGTCGCATGGGTCGGCACTGGACCAATTGCTCTGATGAGAGAGCAGAAAACATGCTCTTCTGCGACAATCCGAGTCGTGCAGATGATGATGATGTCAAAACATGATCGTTGGTCTATCTGCCTGCCGTCCAGTGGTCCCATGGATATGGCGGCCAAGTCCGGTCTGGGCGATATTGATGAGCACCTGCACCGCAAACAGAGCGAGTCTTGGCACTATAGGGCCACTAAATGTGGGCGGTATCGCGGCGGAGTGGAAGGGTGCTAACCATTTTATGCAGGCAAGCCTTTTAGTGAGCCCGAGCCCTGAGCTCTGCCCAGCGGTGCAGGTGGTACTTGGGCGAGTAGGCTATGCTCGTTGGCGGCGGCTCGAGCAAACGGACAGGAAAACGCACTAAGCTGGGGCTCCGGGACATGCCAACTTCCTAGCCTCAGAGGGCGAAGTACCTTAGCACCATGCAATTCAAGGCTTCTAAACGCTCGCTCGGTCTATCCCGTCTCTGGGAGGCCGTGCATAGGGTAGAGTACGGACAATTACGAAAGTCTACAAACAAACAAGATCAAAGAGGCCTCGGCTTCCGACAACCCGTCGCCCGTTGGTCGATGCTAGGTACCAAGATCAGACTACCAAACCCAAAATTCCCGTAACTATCGTCCACCACGGTGAGAGGGGAAGAAGAGACGACCTTGGACGACCGAACGGGGTTCCAGAAAGGCTACGGGAGCGTTGCTTGTACCTAGCGGGTGTCAGGGATGGGCCCTGAATCGAGCGACAGGCTCGACCGCTAGCCGGGTCTCTGATGACGGCCGCGATGGGCCTTGATGGGTCATGGTGGCCCATGATGAGCCATCAAGCTCGGCACATCCTGCTACCCTCTCCCGCCAGCCAATCCAGGCGACGAGCTGCGTTCGCCAGGAGAGACTAGCCTGACGGCTGGTGAGACCTCCAAACGCAACATTGCAGCCGTGTGACACCCCTACTGCATGCTTCCTGTCCTGCAGGGAATGACACACTTTGCACACGCCTCCCACGCGCGCACCCACAGACGAACGATTGCCTCTCTCCTCCCAGACCCTCTGCCGGCGGCCCTACCTTGGTTGCCCTCCTCCTCTTCCCTGCCTGTTTGCTTGCTGTAATGGCTACCTGGTCCTGGTCCTGGCCCTCCTACAAGTAGTCCTGGCCCTGCCTACCTCCCTGCACATTCTTGGTCCGGCAATGCTGCTGCAGCCCTCCAGCTCCGACCAAAGTACGCCCGTCCCCTTTGATTCCGATCCATCCTTCTTAGTCGAGATGCAACCCCCCTGTCACTCAATCCTCTTGACACCTGCATATCTGAGTTTGTAGTGAAGAGAAGAAGAAAAAAGAGACGAAGAAGAAGAAGAAGGAGAAGACACGCAGGGAGAAAAAAACAGCACCAGAGGAAGAGATCTGCCTACGCAAAGTGCACAAGAGAGAGACAGAGAGAGGGAGCTGGAGTGATATGCGCAGCCAGCTGGGTGGGCTACACGGCTAAGACGAGAATTTCGGCTTGTCTCATCGGCCACCACACACCCTGTAGCACCCTCACAAAAGTAAACGACAGCTGCAGCCGTCTCAGCCTCTTCTTTTCTCTCGAGCTCACTCCCCTTCCTCGAGCATTTCCTTCTTTCCCGACTTCCAATCTCTTCCCTCTTCTCCTGTGAGCAGCGGAGCATCATTCTCGTCCGTTTCCACTTTGTTGCACACAAAATCGCCTATTCCCCGGCAGCTTGCGAACAGACCTCAACTCATCTCATTCCCTATCGAGCTATTGCTTCTCTCCCCTTCTGCAGCCATCATCCCTGCACTTTAGTTCCTCCCCACCAGCACAGACTCGCGACCAGGGGCCCCCGACCCGCGGAGCAAGGTTGTCTGTATTCCGCTTTTCGACTTTGTTGCGACGAAATTGTGCTCTTAAATATCTGGTCCTCAATCATCGCCCAGTCCAGACCTTTCCGTCTCCCGGCTGGGGAATATTCCTTGTGCACTACGGCGCCGCCCACTGCGTTGCGCGCGAAACTTGTATGAAATCCGTGCTCTGTTTGATAGAGCCAGCAGATCCGAGTCGAGTTGAGCAATTTTGGCTTGAGCCACGCGAGAGAGAAGAGGTTTTGTCCAGCACGGGGCTTCTCTGGACCGAAGCATCTGGAGGCGCACAGTCCAGTGTACCGATTGCGAGCCCCGCCATCTCTTCCCGTCTCCTCCGGAGGAAGCTCTGACCAGCATTTGCCACCATCACGACTCCTCACTGGGGAATAGACGTCATTTGCCATTCGTCCAGAAGCTCATGGCAGCTGCGCACTACCTCCGCGACACTTTGCTCACAACAAATCATTCCTCTACTCCCAATGGCGCCAACTAATGCGCTGGCCAGAGCCAGAGGCTCGGCATCCTCGTCTAGGCGAGAAACGAGTTCCGTGGCCAGTGACAAACAGAAGCCCAAGCGGGCGAGTAAGCCCAAAGTGAAGACGGGCTGCAGGAATTGCAAGTAAGCACAGCGCCCCCTTGCCTTCTGCCTCCGTCCTCCCTCCCTCACATATTGACCCGTATTGCAGGGACCGGCGAATCAAATGTGATGAGAAGCGGCCGTCCTGTTCTCAATGCGAGAGGTCCAAGAAGGTATGCACGGGCTATCCGCCTCCAGCTCGTAGCTCCAGGACCCAGGATATCTTGATCGCACCGAGGCCCCCGATTATCGCAACGAGGACCCTTCAGCAACCGCATCAACTTCGACCTCACGCACTCGCCCCAGTTGCGGAGCAGCAGGTTAACCCTTGGCATCAAGGGCATAGCCCTCCGCACACTCCTATGGTCCCATCCAACACCATCATGATTTACCAGCCTTCGGCAGGCCTACCATTCAGCGAGCAGGATGGCCTCTACTTCTCCCTGTTCCGCAGCCACACCGCGAACGAACTGTCAGGGTTCTTCGATAATGTCTTTTGGTCCCGGATCGTCATGCAGGAGTGTCACTCGGAACCTGCCATTCGACACGCCGTGGTGGCCCTCGGCGCACTGTACAAAACCCTAGAAAAGGCCACTGAATCTCCCCCTAGCTCACCAACCGACAGTGGTCTGCTCATGGACAGCGCGCATCGCCACTGGGAGGTCGCGCTCAAGCAGTACTCGAAGGCTCTCGAGGCCTCCATCTCCGCCAGCAGGCAGGATGTCGGTGCGCACAGGACAGTCTTGATGGCCAGTGTGCTGTTGGCCTGCTTTGACTCGTTTGTTGGTGACCATAAGAAAGCCATCCTGCAAATACAACAGGGCCTGAGATTCCTGGAAAGCCTGCGCGCCGAACGGAGACGCTCCTTTGCTCCAAAACCCGAGGAGCCTGTCGAAGACGAGATCATCCAGATGTTCACTCGTCTTGCTATCCAGGCCAAGTCGTATGACATGGCCTTCCACTTCCCGCAGCCACACGTCATCCGGTTACTACCTTCACCAACTGATCCTTTATCGCCGGCCGCTGAAGGGACATCGCCTGTGTCGATTCATCAAGAGCCGATCCCTCCGCAGTTCCCTTCCCTGCTAGATGCGAGAATCGCGTGGGACACGCTCCTGGAGCGCGTGTTCCGGTTCACCGAGCTCATGTTCCAGTTTGTCAGTGCGGGATCAGCCCCAAACATCTTGCCGAATTCCATGACCCAGTACGGCCAACAATTCCAGGCCGATCTCCGGGCATGGTCGGATGCTTTTGAACCCCTTCTCTCGTCACGCTTCGCCCCTAGCGTCACTCGCCAGGAGAAGGCGGGCATAGCGGTGCTGAAGATGTTTCATCTGATGGGAGAGATTCTATTTGCCATGACATTCAGCGACAGCGAGATGCATTTCGACAAATACCGACCCCATTTTAAGACCATTGTAGACCTCGCGCAGGAGGTTGTCGGAGACGAAGAGAGGAGCGCCAAGGAGAAGCGATGTCCCAACCCGGGACGCTGCACACACCAGCGAAACCATCCACCAGATGTCTTTGGCGGCAACGACTACGCCGCACACCATATCAAGGCCAGCTTCAGCGCCGATCTTGGCATCGTCCCGCCGCTCTACGTGGTAGCGACCAAGTCGCGCGATCGACAGATTCGACGTCAAGCCATCCAGCTCCTGAGGAGCAGCTCTCGGAGGGAGGGGATGTGGGACAGCGAGCTCATGGCCCGCATTGGAATGTGGGTGACGGAGATCGAAGAAGAGGAGGAACTCTTGACGCCCAGGGAGAGTCCCGTCGCGTTCTCGCGGCCATTCTCCGACGCCGGTTCGCCAAACGGCTCGCTCGACTTTGGAGAGCGGCCGCTCGGCCCAGGAGGCAATGCAAAGTGGGAAGACCGCCGCGAGAGCATCGTGTCGACGCTCAGCAACCGATCCCAGCCGAAGCCCATACCGGCCGAGAAGCGAGTTCTCGTCAAGTCTTGCGAGTTTGACCTCCGGGAACACAAGGCTGTTCTGCAGTGCGGCACTCGTGGGTTGGCAGCTGGATCTCTCGACCTCAAGACACGACGGACGACAATATCGTGGTGATTTTTTTTTTCTCGACACAGTTTCGCCCATGGACCATCTCTACTATCTGTGTGTTTTTTTTGGATTTTATGCTTGTTTATACCCTGGAGAGAAGCGTGCGTGGTGTTGATCTTGGACATGTGTTACGATTAACGGATGGGTCTGCGTGATCCCGTGGGAGACAAAAAAAGAAAAAAGAAAAGAAAAAAAAAGAGAAAGCAGTTTGGGGAGCTGTTGATCCTACTGTGTGGTAGGATATGAACTAGGAAAGGGGCTCGCTGGATCGAATTTTCCCTCTTCCAATGTGTGCATGCTTAGAGATCGATCGCTTTGTCTGGAGGATCATGGATGCGGAGTTGTGCGCAGACAAAAGAGTTCTTTCAGGTCAACTGTAAAGTCTGAACCCAACAAAGATAGCCCAGTTCTATCTGTTCAATAACTAGTGTAATTTGATGAGAGTATCTTGTCTTTGTGAATGGGATGTAGTTGAATTTGCAGTTGTGATTGCACAGGTCTGGCCATCTCGAGATCAGGTTGAAGTCAGTAGTGTTCATATCAGGAGGGGAAGCCAACGATTAAGTTTAGCACATTGGCTCGGCTGACAGCTTTATCGATAACGATCGGCCCTACCCAATTGTTAGTACTCCAGGCACGCCTTGCGACAAATTTCGAGAACTACTGAACCGTTACCAGTGACAGCAGGCCACCTCTTATCAGCACAATCCAGCCTCACCTTCCTCCCAAATTGGAAGCGCATAGCGACACCACCGTTTGGCTCCCTCGATCATGTCCAAAAGACACGCCACAGAGGCGCTGGAAGACCTCGCGGGCATAGGCTCGCCCGCGTCCAAGAAATCGAGACTCGACGACCCTCGGAGCGGCAGCTCCAGCATCCACGAGAATGGAGATCTCGGCGTGGCGGAAGGGCGGCAAAGGAACGGCACGTCTCGTCTGGGTACAGCAGCGCAGCGGGATATAGAAGGCGACGACGACGACGACGGCTTTGACGACGAGCCTGAAGAGAGGGCGCCGATCCGGCAAGCGGCGCCGACGGAGGGCTACGACGACCTCTACCTCGACACCATCGACCGCAACGTGCTCGACTTTGACTTTGAGAAGCTGTGCTCCGTGTCCCTGTCCAACATCAACGTCTACGCCTGCCTGGTCTGCGGGCGCTACTACCAGGGCCGGGGCCCCAAGTCCCACGCCTACTTCCACGCGCTCGACGAGGGCCACCACGTCTTTATCAACATGGAGACGCAAAAGGTGTACGTGCTGCCGGAGGGCTACGAGGTCAAGAGCAGGTCGCTGGACGACATCAAGTACGTGTCGGACCCGCGCTACACGAGGGAGGAGGTCGCGGAGCTGGACAGGAAACCCAAGACGGCGTTCACGATCGGCGGCAAGGAGTACACGCCCGGGTTCGTGGGCATGAACAACATCAAGGAGAACGACTACCTCAACGTCGTGGTGCAGGCGCTGTCGCACGTGCCGCCGCTGCGCAACTTCTTCCTGCTCGAGGACTTCAGCTCGTCCCCGGAGCTCGTCAAGCGCTGCAGCATCCTCTTCCGCAAGATCTGGAACCCGCGGGCCTTCAAGGCGCACGTCTCGCCGCACGAGCTGCTGCAGGAGGTCTCGCTGCGGTCCAACAAGCGCTTCACGCTGACGGCGCAGTCGGACCCCGTCGAGTTCCTCTCGTGGTTCCTCAACAACCTGCACCTCGGGCTGGGCGGCAGCAAGACCAAGCCCGGCAGCTCGATGATCCAGCGCGTCTTCCAGGGCAAGCTCAAGGTCGAGTCGCAGGCCATCACCGCCAAGGCCGACGCCGGCGACCGCCTGCGCTTCGAGGAGGCCGCCGAGGTCAAGGTCGACGTCTCGCGCTTCCTCCTCCTCACCCTCGACCTGCCCCCCGCCCCGCTCTTCCAGGACGAGCTCGAGGGCAACATCATCCCGCAGGTCGCCCTGACGACCATCATGTCCAAGTACGACGGCGTCTCGGCGCAGGAGCACCTCGCCCACCGGCGCCGCTACCGCCTGCTGCACCCCCTGCCGCCCTACCTCGTCCTGCACGTCAAGCGCTTCAGCCAGAACAAGTTTGTCAGCGAGCGCAACCCCACCATCGTCACGTTCGACGCGCGCGGCCTCGACGTGGCGCCCTACGTCGAGCCGGACCCGGCGCACCACCGCGACCCGGGGGAGCCCATCTGGTACGACCTCGTGGCCAACGTGGTGCACGAGGCGGTGCGGGCGCGCGACGACGTCGGCGACTCGGCCGAGGAGCGCAAGACGTGGAAGGTGCAGCTGCGGGACCGCGCGCGGGGCGACGAGTGGGTCGTCGCGCAGGACCTCTTTGTCGACAAGATCCAGAACGAGCTGCTCTACCTGGGCGAGACGTACCTGCAGGTGTGGGAGAGGAGGCGGGCGCCGCCCGGCCCCGGCAAGGGCAAGGGCAAGGGGAGGTGAGGGCTGTGAGGTTCGAGGCGGAGAACGGGCGCAGGGAGAGAAGGGAGGAGAGGGGGGGAGGGGCAGACTGGGACACGGAGCATGATGATTGAAGAGTGAGAGAAGTTGTAATTCTAGATGTATTACTGTCACCTACCTATTCTTCCAAGATACGGAGGATGGACGAGCATTAAAGGGAATCAAAAACGCCTAGACCGGTTGGTCGGTTGATCAGCCTCGCAGAGTCTTGCAGCGAGATGCACGATGATGAGTGATTGATTATTGGGTCAAACCAGAAACGGCCATATGGTGGTGCATATACATGCAAGGCTACCCGAAGATACGGAGTGCAGGAATAGAAAAAAAACTATAGCTACAAGTTAGAGTACAGTAGCAACCGAAAACGCAGCAGATCCAGCACTTTCACGTTCCCACACATCCTTTTCTTCCGCTTCCCTCTCTGGCGTGTCCCTCGACACATCCCGTCGACAACGCTCTTCAGAGGACAACCCCCACGTATTATCTTTGGTTTGTTTTCTTACAAGGCTGCGCCGATTCTCACTCGGGAGACCCCTTCCAAACCAAGAACGAGAGCAGACATGGAAATCTCCATCTCCCCATAGGTGTCCAAACGCGCGTGTCAAGCAAGAAACAATAATAAATAGAGGGCGAAAAAAAAATCCTCGCTGTGTGGTTTGTCCGCATGCTTCGCTGAATAGTGTACATGAGTGTCTGCTTGCCGTGGCCTCCCGACCGGGCACTCCTATGATGCATTATCGGAACGACACTCGAGACGGTGTGCTCTTGCTGTCCGGGAGACTATGGATAAACTCCAGGAGAGAGTCGGACCGGCGCACACGCTATGATGTGCCGGCGCTTCCGCTGCCTTGCTTCTGGTCGTCGCCTTGCTGTTGGTGGTGTTGCTTGGATGGTCGCTTATCGTGGTGCTGGTTGGCCTTCTCGCGCCGCGATTCCTCGATGGCCGTGCGCTGCTGGATGGAGGAGTCGTGGCTCTTCCACTCCAGCTTGGTCTCGGTGGGGAAGTTGAGGATTCGCTTCATGGTTTCGCTGCATCGTAGTGTTAGTACAGTTTGCTGAGAGAGCGCAGAGACAGCCGGCGACCTACCGAATCTTGAGCACCCGTCCCCCACCTCCTCGGGTCCAGATGCTCAGGATGTCCTCCCCATTTCTAACGCTGAGCACGGCACCACACACCTCTTCACTCGCCTCACCAAACTGGTCGCCAATCACGGCGAGCAGCAGGTCCTCCCAGTATCGATCAGCGACACCCTTCTTGAGCCGCACGATCCACTTGCCGCCCTTCTTGTTCTCGTCATCCTCCCATATAGGCCGGACTCCCTTTCGGAAGAGGTGGTAGTCGGAGACTAGAGGCAGAGTTGAGGGCCGCTTCAGATGCGAATACACGGTGAAGAACTCCTCCGCGGTTCCGCACATGGCGATGGGGTGCAGCGTTTTCTCGTACTCGATGTACCCATTGGCCTTGCTGATGGGTGGTCGGAACCAGAAGACCCACGGTGTCCGTAGCGAATGCGCTGCCGGCGCGGCGGGGGCTCTCGCCTCTGCCCTGTTGGTAGTCGCCTTGCCGCTCAAGGCTCCCTCCTTGGTCGATTTCTCGGCCGTGGGAGTCTTGGAGCCGCTGCCGCCGCCGAATCCTGCCTCGAAGGGGTTGGCTCCCGACTTGGGTGTCTTGGCCGATCCGAAGGAGGCGAAAGCGCCTGAGCCGAGGCCAAAGGCACTGGATGCGCTCGTGGGACTCACCAGGCCGCTTCCCGGTGTCGTCGCGGAGTTGAAGGGATTGCTTTTCCCATGGGAGGAGGTGTCACCTCCAAAGCGCTTGGAGAAGCTGGCATTACGATTGGCTGACTCGCTCTGTCCCGAACTTGATGTGGATAGGGAGAGCTTGCTGGAGCTAGAGAAAAAAAAAGAAGGGACTTGTTAGAATACCAGTACGGGGGCAACGAGAGGAGAGCAAGTTGCCTGTTGTAGGACGCGACAGGACGGAGGACACTTACTTTGTACGCCGAGTCCATAGATTATCCATCAAGAAGGCGGGAGAGGGGGAGGGACGTTAAGGGTCGCGGGTAGTGGTCGTGTGGGCGTTGAGCGACTCCTCCGCAAGCTTCCAGACTGCAGGAAAAAAAAGAAGAGTGATACAAGAATTCAAGACAGGACGTATGCGCAGGTACAATATTGATTTTCGGGGCGATTAGCACGCGGCGACACCAGGAGTGTGAATACCAGACGTGAGGGTCGGACCAAACACAATGCTCGAGGTGCACGGTGGTGGTGGCGCTTTCAGGGATTCTTTTTGGGACAGAAGTGATGCAATACAAGAAAGAACAGCGGTGTATCGCGCGCGATGGTAGGTTCAATGACAGAGTATTAGCTGCTGTGTGACTTGCGAGGGGTCAACAGAGAGATATCGAGGAGGATGGATGGGATTGACAAGGTCTGTCTGTGTATAATGGTGTGGTTGGAGGTGATGGTGAAGGGAGGTTCGGAGGTGAGATGATAGGTTGGATGAGCAGCGGAGGTTGCCTTTTCTTTGCAGTCGTGAAAAAGAGCAAATCTTTTGGCGTCGGCCGGCTTTTTTGGGGGGGTCTTCTCTTTGGGCTGGCAGCAAGCAGAGACACATTAGCAGTACCGCAAATGTGTGTGTTTGGAGGGAAGCCGAACTTGTGACTGTTCCAACAACGCCAGGCCAGTTGGGGTGCAGCCGTTTACTAACAAGCTCCACTGCATATATGGGGCCCTTTGAGCCCCAAGGCGCAGTTTTGCTGCTTTCCAGAAGCCTTTCCAGGCAGGCTATCCACCCCTACAGATCCCCGTCTTAGCGCTATGCAGGCCATGCCACTCGCTGTGCTGTCCGGAGGTGTTCAGTGTGTCAGTTGAGTGCCGCACTGCCGCCATTCTTCTGAGGACTTTTCTGGTGGCAGAGCTCTGGTGGGTCCAAGCGTCCATCGGTCCCTGGCCAGAGGTATGCTGGTAAAAATTCCAATTGGCGAGAGAGGAGTCTCTCTCCTTCTCTTCTTTTTTTTTCTCCTTCATAAAAATCCACGACACCAAATCCTAATCATCGCCAGACCGCTCGACCTCGGTCACCTCTCACGCTGCTGACGATTGCGATTCGTGTGTCAAGATTGACTGATTACGATCGCCCTTGTTTATAAAACCATCATCACGAGGGCCCCAACATGCGTGGCTTCCATGATGCGGTGATGACCTGAAACAAGTTTGGACATTGCTTCCGTTTTGACTGCGCTTCGCTTGATCGCTTGCACTCCATTTTGACACACTCCATCCCGGCTGGCCACTGAGCGGCTCGTCTTCTCGAGAGAGAACAGCATCGAGGCCGAGAGGGCAATATTGGACTGACCCTCATAGTTGCTGCTAAGCATTTGATCCGGGTAGCCGTAGCGTGTTCCCTTGATTCGTCTTGTCATCTTGAAGACAGTCAGCTTCTGAGAGCCCCGGGCTCTTCTCTCGCCAAAGGCAACTGTGTAAGTGCCATGGCTCTGTTCATATCCCTTCACCCACCTACAATGATGACTACACTTTATGGTAATCCGACTCAGCAGCTTTGCGAGGCAAGCTTCTTGTCTCTGCGAATGCGCCGTTGAGGATGTCGATGCTTATAGTTATTTCCCATGTCTGATCTTGCCCCTTCCAGATAGCTGTATTTGTCCATATCAGTACGGGTATGCTAATACCGCTTGCTACTCGCAGGCTACTCTTGTTCTCTGAGAACCTGAACTCACACGGGACCAATTGAGATGATGGAGATGAGGTCTCACAGTACCTAGGTATCTATCAAGAGGCAATGTTGTTGGATCCAGCTCAGGCCAGCAATCAATCTGACCTCGCCAGGTCCCACCAGACCAGACTCGTACTTGTAGATAATCCGGCCCTTCATGTCCACATACACCGTGGTTGAAGTGCCGAGCTTTGCAGTTCCAGGACTGAGAATTTTCAGTGGAGACGCCCACCTGAAATGTCCCGCTATCTTGGATCCTGGCCGTACAAAGCCGCTAGATATCTGCCTTAGTGACTCTCTGTAAGCACTTCAGATATGGATGGATAATGAACCCCGCGACAAAGAATATCAGCGGGGCACCGGGAGTGACGCCCGTCCATCTTCGTTCCTCTCTTTCATCTTGTGACTCCAATCTCCTCTTTCTTCTCGCGGATGAGAACCTGGGTCCCAGAAGAACTGAATCGCATACTTCTGTACAAGGCAATTGGGGTATAAGCTGTTGGCTGATATCCTGTGCCGGTCTGTCGCCCAGGTTCGCCTTCTCGCCTTGACTCTTCGAGGTCAGCGCCGTTGAAGCAGTGACCGTTCAATCTCCGAACCTCCGAACACCACAAACACAGAACCGCCGTGTCCTGGGCGATTGAGACTCCCTTCGCCATGGACAAGATCACCGACAAGGTCGCGGCCCTGCCGCCCGACGCCAGCTATTTCTCTCTCGAGTTCTTCCCGCCCAAGACCGCCATGGGCTTCTCGAACCTCCGATATCGCTTAGACCGCATGTCGCGCGCCTTGAGGCCCCTGTTTGTTAATGTCACCTGGGGCGCCGGTGGCTCGACTGCCCAAAAGTCGCTGGAGCTGGCAGAGATATGCCAGAGGGAGCTCGGCGTCACGACATGTATGCACTTGACGTGCACAAACATGAGCAAGGACCTGATCGATAATGCGCTGGCGGACGCAAAGGCGCTGGGAATCCGCAACATCTTGGCTCTCAGAGGTGACCCTCCCCGGCCGACCGAGTACAGAGCCGAGGGCGAGGAGGTCCAGGAGGGCGCTCAAGAATTCACGTGGGCGATTGATCTCGTTCGGTACATCAGGAAAAACCACGGCGACTACTTCTGCATCGGTGTTGCAGCATACCCCGAAGGCCACGCGGAGGAGAGCCACCCGCTGGGCCAGAGCCTTGAGCACGACTTGCCTTACCTGGTCGAGAAGACCAAGGCCGGGGCTGACTTCATCATGACGCAGCTATTCTTCGACATCGAGGCCTACAAGAAGTTCGAGACGACACTACGAGAGCACCCCAGTGGTGTGTTCAAGGACATTTTGATAATACCCGGCCTCATGCCGATCCAAAACTATCAGATGATCAAGCGGACGACCAAGCTCAGCCATGCCAGGATACCGGATGCACTCATGGCGCGTCTGGATGAGGTCAAGAAAGACGATGAGAAGGTCAAATCGGTGGGCGTGGACATCGTGAGCGAACTCGTTGAGCAGGTGAAAGAGTTCACTGGCAAGAAGGGCCCCAAGGGCATCCACTTCTATACGCTCAACCTGGAGAAGGCCGTCTCGTTCATCGTGGAGAGGACAGGCCTGATCCCTCCATACACCCCGGAGACCGAATCAGCCGTCGTGGATGATGCCACGTCCCTGGCCGTACCTGCGATCCAAGTGAACGGCACTGGATCATCGGGCGCTGGTCAGGCCTCTTCTCGCACCCGCAAATCATCGATGAACTCAGACCCGCGCAACAGGGTTATCGTCTCCGGCCCCGCATCACACCCGGACTACGAGGTGACGGCCCTCGAAGCCAGCGTGCCCGCAGAACCTGTTAACAGCAGGGCCAACACGTTGGCCATTTCAGAGGGAGAGGGGGTGTTGGGCAGGGAGGCGACCTGGGATGACTTTCCGAATGGAAGGTGGGGTGACGCGAGGTCTCCTGCATATGGTGAGATCGACGGCTATGGCGTAAGCCTGCACATGTCCGTAGCACAAGCGCTCAAGCACTGGGGCACGCCGACAACCAAAGACGACATCAGCCAGCTGTTTGTGCGCCACCTCAAGGGAGAGCTGAGCGCTATACCCTGGAGCGAGGAGGAGTTCAACGCCGAGACCGGCACCATCACGGGGCAGCTTATCAAGCTGAACTCGAAGGGCTGGTGGACGGTGGCTTCCCAACCTGCTGTCAACGGCCTCAAGTCCGAGGACCCCATCTTTGGCTGGGGACCGCAGCACGGCTTCGTCTTCCAGAAGGCCTTTGTCGAGTTCTTCATCATGGACTCCGAGTGGGAGGTGCTCCGCGAGAGGCTATCGCGGCCCGAGATGAAGAACCACATCTGCTTCTACGCGGCCAACGCCACGGGCGACTTCCAGTCTTCCGACTTTAGCGGCGGGCTCGACAAGGAGGTCAAGGAGGCGAGCACCAACGCCGTGACCTGGGGCGTGTTCCCGGCCAAGGAGATCATCACGCCCACCATCATCGAGGAGGTCAGCTTCCGGGCGTGGGCCGAGGAGGCCTTCGGCATCTGGGGCGAGTGGGCCAAGGTGTACCCCAAGGGGTCGGAGAGCGACAGGCTCCTCGAGGGGATCAAGTCGGGCTACTGGCTCGTGAACCTGATCCACCACGACTTTGTCGAGAGCGATGCGCTGTGGGAGCTGCTGTCGCAGTGAGGGATTTGGGTGACCCGGGGTTATTTGGTAGTCAAAAGGGGAGAGAGAGGATTTCGGAGCGTGGGGTTTCCATTGGGGCACGGGGAGCATGGTACTAAGGGCAACTTGGAAGTTACTGGCGAAAGAAATGAGAATCCATCGCATCTGCTATTGATAGTCTTGTCTGCTCTCGAGTGTCTTCGTATGAATGTGTGCCCATTGTGGAATACCTGTCCTGCTCGAGCGACCCAGCCGGAACGGTCAGCCCTTGACATCTCTCTGGAACAGAAAACAAATCTTGCTGGTCTGCAAATATCGAGACAACCTGTGGATCAAATGATCTATCTATGGGCGAACAATCCGCCTGAGCTGTGCGACCAATCCCTTCCTGTGAGACTGGAAATTATTTTTTCTGAGAACCGTCGTGAAGCTCAAACGCGAGAGACTAGGAAGAAACATCGTCTGCATAAAGTACATGAAGTCCTCGATGATGTGGACTGGTAAAAAACAAAAGGGAGTTGGTGTATCTTCGTAGTGCCGTAAAGAGGAAAGGGGTATTGTGCAGTGTCTCTGCCATTCTTGGCTCATTACTAGGAGCGAATGAAGAAGCCCAGAGAAGAAAAATCAACGTCGCAGTCTTTCGTAGTAGCATCCCGGTCTCTCAAAATCTGGTCCATGAGTAGAGAGCATTGTGATTCTTTCCCCGTATCAACGCGCAAATTCGCTGCAATCGCCCGGTGAGATGTCGTCCCTCGTGCAAAAGTCATACTCCACCTCCTACAGCACCAGCTCAGATCTCGCCATCCTCCAGCGCAAAGATATCGTGGCTCATCATACCGGCCGAGTAGTCAATCTCCTCGTGGTTGATGCCGCTGCCGTTGCCGAAGCTGCGGTTGCCAAAGCTGCCGCCGCCAAAGATGGAGCTCGCGGTGCTCTGCTGGCTGAAGACGGGCGCCTGCTGGGACTGGGACTGGGACTGCGACAGCGACAGCGGCGGCTGGCTGGCGCGGCTGCCCGGGAGGGAGGAAGAGGGCCAGTTGACGGGCTTGTCGACAATAGCGAATCCGTCGTCGTCGTTGTCCTCGTCGACATCAGTCTTGATCTTGACCTCGGGGGGCATGCTGCTGCCCGTGCCGCCGGTGGCGCGGGGCGTCGGCAGCGCGCCGGACATGGCGTACGCGGGGGCCGGCGGGGCGAAGTCGCCGCCCAGGCCGTCGCCGTCGGGGATGGGGCTCGCGGCGGTGGAGGCGCGCCTCTGGCGCTTGGCGGCCGCGGTCGCGGCGACGGAGGGCTTGGTGGGCGTGACGTCGAGCGCGTCGTAGTCGACCTCGTCCTCGGTCGACTCGTTGCTGTCCTTATCAGCGGCGGCGGGCGTCTGCCTCTTGGCGGGCGAGGCGCGGGCAGCGGCGGCGGCCGCCGCGCGCTTGGTGCCGGTGCCCGGGGTGGTGGTGGCGGCCGACTTGGGCGTGGCGCTGGCGGCGGAGGAGGGGGCCTTGCGCTTGCGGGGCGTCGAGGCGGCCGAGTAGGTGCGGGTGGCGGACGGGGTCGGGGGCATGGGGCTGCCCGAGTCGTGGGCGGCGCGCAGGGCCTTGGCCTCCTTCTTGATGGAGCGGAACTGGAACTCGATGCCCATGGGGGTGGACTCGCCGAAGTACTTGGCGATCTCTGCGATGCAAAGAAAAGAAAGAGGGAGATGTCAGCTGTCGTGATCTTTGATAAAAAATGGAAAACACAATAACGGTAAGAAAGCACAGCGATATATGACGAGATTTGAGATGAACGGCCCCCTGGTCTCAGAGGTGCGAATGAAAAGGATCGTACCCTTCTCATTCATGGTGACGCAGGCTGCATAATCCTTTGCATCCTTGCCCTCGGCGACCACCTGGCGAAGGCCGGCTGCGGCCTTCTTGATGGGCCGGAAGCGGTGCTCAATGCCCGACATGGATGTGTCAGAGCCATAATGCTTAGCAATGGCTGTAAACCACTTCGGTCAGAGGTCTGTTGCGCACTTTCGAAGGAGGAAGACAGACGAAAGGAGAACCACTGTCTGAGAAGGGCAAGAGTTGTGTACATGTACATTGGAAATGTCTTTGGCAGAGTGAGGCGGAGTAGTAGTCAAGAAGATGGACCGTACCTTTGAAGTTCAACTTGATGCTGGGATCGCTGGCCAGGACCGCGGCCAGCAGGCGGCTCTGCGCCTCGTATGTCTTGAAGTTGGACGGCATGATGAGTCTTTTTGGCGTTAGTTCCGAGACAGCGAGGACGGTGAGTCAGATGGGTGCTGTTGAGAGGAAGCAGGAGCAGATCTTGGGTAGGATCGAGGTGGATGAGTTTGTTGAAAGTTGGGATCCTGAGGAGTGGGATCTGAAATGAAGGCGAGGGGTTGGTCAGAGTGAGGAGCGAGAGAAGAGAAGAAGTCTTCAAGTGGAGCAGGATATGCCCCTTCGCGAAGAGTGTCGGGGGAGATGAGACACGGTGGGAAGGATGGACACTGAGGGAACTTGCTCCGAGGGGTCGAGGAGAAGCTGAAAGGAGAGTGGGAATGTGTAGATAGTAGTGCTATAGGATGTTTGGGAAGGGATGGCACAACAAACTGGTCTGCTCTGAAATTGGTGGGTGTGATCTTGACTGTCAACTCACCTTTTTCTATATGTGCTTACACCTGAAGAGCTTCAACCCGGTGGTGATGATAATGTAGGCCCCTATCAAGGAGGTCTCGTAAGGTGGAAGGTAGAGAGAAAAGAGAGGGAACAGCCCAGGGACGGGGATTCCAGAGCAGAGTGAGGGAGATGAGAAGGGCTGCTCTGGAGTTTTGCAGATGGAGTAGACTGTCTTGGGGTTTGAAGTTGAGAGATGAGATGAATGAGGGTGGTCTAAGTGGCTGGGCGTTGTTGTTAGATGTCTGATTCACCGGAACAACAATGGCTCACTCAGTAAAAGGAAGTGGCAGAGAACGCAGGCCTGGTCGCAAAGCCCGATCTGACTTTGCGGCCTCCCTTTTGAAAGTGAGCGTAGTCGGCCTGGTCTCTGAATGATCTTCGAGCTGGCGTTGAGTCTGGACTGAAGTTCAATTTTGGAGGACGACATTCGGCACACGGGCCTCTCAGCAGACGCGCGACCAGTGGTGCACTTTTGGTAGTGCAATACCAAGAGCACACAACAGCATCCCCCCAGCCAGCACCACTTTTTACCATAAAATGGTGCCTTGAAATTTGACATTAAATATTTTGGGTATCTCTATTATTCTATCATTTTCTATTTAGTCAACCGCCTGCCTGTGGTTGCCGTGTTTCGTCTTCAAGCCGGTGGCTGGGAGTATTGCTTAACATCGTTTAACGATGTTGGCAAACCTGGCGGGGGCGAGCTGGGATGTTTATCCCTGCCACCGTTTCCCCTTGGCTGATCTGGTCAACATCAGGCAAGCTCGGTGGCTTCTTCGCTGTGCCCAACGGCCTTGATCATATTAGATACAAAGCGATTCAAGCCACACACGGGTATTTCCATCTTCTTGGCCTCATATACAGCATCGACTCGTGACTTACATGAACACGCCCGTCTTCTTCCGTGTGAGAGGCCGAAAGTGGCCCGGTCAAGATCTGAATATGGCGGGCACAAATTCCAACTTCTAATCCAGCCCTCTCTTTTCCGAGGCTGAAGTCCTCCTGCCAGTCGGTGTCGCCCGGCCTGAAATATAGCCAGGCTTGGGCTCATATGAGGCGGCCCAGCCCATGGGTACATCTTGGCCTCTGACCGGGGTCGTACTGTCGCCGTACATGAAGTACTGGATGCCCAGGAAAGCATCGCAGCCAGCTTGGAACATACCACTGAGTTTGAACGCCCAGGGGATCTGCGTCGGCGAGGTGAAAAACCAGTACATCTTCATCGCATCGCCAGCCAACCAACTAGCCACCACAGAGAATCGGAAGCCCTTGACCGACCGAGACCGAGCGTTTTTCATAATCTGAGGGATTGGCAGCGTCGCCTCGACGGAAAGTCCAATGTAGCCGATCAAAGAGGAGTAGAATGGGTAGATTCCGTGGAAGGGGCCGAGGACGAGTTCGAGTGCGGTCAGAGTGATGAACATGTAGAGCAGGAATTGCCAGTACCTAACGAAAGAGCCATCTGTTAGCTTGACCAGAGGTGGTTGTCTGCTCAGAACAATCCGCTGCTTACGGTTTCGGAGACCGCCATTGCCAGAAGCCGTAGGGCCTCTTCGCCTCCCATGCACCGTCCTGTACGCCCGCGAAAGGCAGTGCCGCCTCCCCTCCCTTGGAAGCTGGCGGGGCTCGGTGGTCGAGCGCAATCTTGAGGAGGAGAACCTGCATGATGATCATAAGGAACGACTGGATGAGGAGGGCAGTGTCGAACCTGGCGCCAGGATAGTAGAACACCCTTTGGGTTGACATGTTAACGACTTTGCGGCGCGATGGCCAGAGTGGTGGTAGCGGGGACGGACCTAAAGAAGGATGCCACCAGCATGATCAGGGGGATGTCCAGAGAAAACCCGGCGCTCGACTTGTTGCGATGCATAGACAGGGCCTGGTCGCTGTAGGACAGCACCGGCGACATGATGAGGAAGATGGGCGCGACATAGCCCGCGAAGGCCTTTAACCACTGCAACATGACGGCGACTCGCTCCGTTTCAAAGGGGGGGTAGAAACGCTGGGTGGACGCGCGCCGGCTTCGTGTGGTCGGATCAATGGGCTCAGGGATTGGCAGGACGATGGCGACGGTAAAGGAGCGAATGGCGATTGGGAAGAACAGGAGAGAATGCCGGTGATTGCTGTGCCAGGTCCGCGAGTCCAACGCCGGGTTGATAGGGATACTTTGGACGGGAGGTGGCTTTTTTTCGCGATCGGAGGAGTCGGAAGGCCGCGTGGTCGAAAACGGTTTACGCGAATTACCTCAGCCCAGCTTCTAGGTACTCGTAGCGTGTAGCCTGTGAGCCTCTGAAGCCAATTGCAAGTCGCCGGGTCCCCACATGGCCGACACTACGGCGGCGCGGCACGGCACAGAGCCGCCTTGGGCGTTTACATTGAGCTCATGCCCAACATCAGCTATCCCGAATGGCCTCAAAACAACGACATGCACTTTGCAGCACACTCCGTTCCACTCCACTGCCCAGAGTTACAATGCTCGTCACGTTGACATTTCAATCATGTTCCTTGCGTATTCCAGACCCATACCGCTTTCTCTTTGTTCCTCAATGCTTGTAGCTCTTTCCTAAAATATACATGTTTATATCAAAGAATATAACGGGCAAGTCCGACAAGCCTCACCTACCCTGTGCTCGCAATACGCATGATCACGCGCATGGTCACGCGAATTGACTGTGCAGCTCCTTCCTCATGACCAAGAACCAGGAGCATGCATTTTCACTCGAGTTCATTGAAATTCACTGGCTTGTTTTGGAGGTAACAATTGGAAATTTGTTCTCTTTCCCGTTGAAGTCTCTAGGTGATTCTCGATCACGTAGTCAACTTGAAGAGGAGACCTGCCTCGTTAAATCAACGCCAGAGGCCATGTAAGTGAGTACCTGCATTCCTTTGTCCCCGGATTGCCGAGTGCGGTTCATTCCTACGAGTTGACGTTGAGGCTGATGTTGCCAACCAGAAGATACGAGCACCTACGGTTTGCGCTGCCAAATATGCCACCCTCCGTATCTTCGTGGCATATAATGTGGCCTGGCTAAGGCCGTCGGTAACTGGCGATTATGAGAGGGCACCATGCCTGCTTGAATCACCCTCAGTCTCGCCGCTCGACACTCTCAACTCTCGATCTCATTAATGAGTGTATGCGAATAGTGAGCAACTCTTGTTCTCGGGACATATCCGATGACTAAATCACTATCCTTGATGGCATCCCCTCTCGATATGCCTAGTCGCTACTTGTCGAGGAGTCTTCGAATTCAAACAGTATCTGAATATTCCCTCGGAACGCATCGTTAAAACTACCAGTCCGTGGTCCGAGATGCAAATCCTCAGCGTCCTGAGATTGGCTCAAAGCTTGACGAACTTGCATTACCGACTTGGGGGCCCGAGGACCAACTCCCGTCCCTTGCGAAGGACCAAGGTATCTTGGAGCAGCCCTGGCCTTGTCCGGTCAGTCGTGTCAAAGCAGTTTCACACGATCCGAACCAGTCTACTCCTTTCTCAGGTACGAATGCAGATAAGGTTTATGACAACGGTTGGAAAATTTCTGGCTTTGGCTTCCTTGAAAACCTCATTAAGCTCCATGGTATGTGTTGGTGCTCTCACACCACCCTACGGCAAGACCTAGAGGTACGTATTGGCGGTCTTAGACATGGATTCTGGGTATCATCTTGTCTGGGACTGAGTCTGATACTAGGCTTCTAGGCAAAGGGTTATCTCACTAACTGGATTCGAAGGTCAAGTCCCTCATACCAGCCGATCCTCGACATGTGAGGCACCAGACCGCCGAGGATAAAAATAATCACAACCAGAGGAAGTAGGCAGGAGCAAGTCAGACGGTCCACACTTGCTGTCTCTTCTCGGCGGATTTGGTCTGATCAACACCCCCTGACCGGGTTGGCATCTAATCGTCTTCCTCGGAGAGACCTTCGGTGCCTCTGATGCGTCAAGTACCGAAAAGGCCCGGATCCGCTTACGCCGCACAAGCGCAGAGGCACGCACTGCAATTCAAGATCAAGAGCCAGGGCATCGAGGGAAAGAAAGCCCAACCCAGCAATGTTGCTCCCATACTCGTGGCCCCTTACGGAAGACAGTCCGCCAACCCGACAGAAGGCGCATCCAGTAGAGGCTAATACCTCTTTCCGCCACGGACTCGCGATGCTTTTCAAGTCCACCGCCAAAACGATCTACAGTCAGGGGTCCTAGGTTCGTTGCGACAGAGGGGTCCAACGTAGATTGCGCACGCCAACCTCATGCATCATTTGCTATTCCCAAGGCAAAGGAACTCCGCAAGGTTGTTGAGCCCTTCGTCAAAGCAACTCAACAGTGCTTATTAGGCCGTCAAGATAGCTTCGCTGTTTGCACTGGGAGAGCTCAAATACTACAGTGGTCTAGTCTCGGTGTAAAGCACGTGGTCGGTCCGAAATGCAACATCGACGCACCAGACATGTTGGAGAAAGACCCCTTATTACCTTACCCATGCTAGGTTTCAAGGCTCTGGGGCCAGTACCTATTGACTACGTACCGCCAAGATACGTTTGTGTCTGGTCCCCGTCCGTTTCTCCAGGTCGTTTCGTCAAGTTTGCTTCAGCAAACTCGCGTTTCAATCGACCAGGGGCAACCACTGTCAATACTGCAACTAGGGAATACGACATGGGGGCTGTTGTTTTAGGAAGGTCGTTTTGTGACTCGCACCCATCCTTGGAGACCGCTTCTGGATCTTTGTGCTCGAAACCGGACACCAGAAGCTCATTCCTCGATTATCCACCGAACCGATATATTTCGTATAGGGCTCTATGCGAGATGTTCTGTGCAACAAACCAACAAACCGCAGGGGATGCTAGTGGTTACCTTCACATACCTCTGGTTCAGTAGTGAGGAAACACTCCCATATTAGCTAATACGGACCGACCAATACCCTCAATTCATTGTCTGTCACTGCAGCTCGATATTATGCCGGTATTAATCCTGCAGCTGAGTGCTTCTCTCACCGAGGGCCGAGGCGCAGGTCCTGTCCGCCTCCAACACCCAGGGTGTTGACTTGAAAAGATTCTTGTTGACACCGGCACCTTGGCACAAATGCACGGAGTAGCTTGGGGTCGAGTTCAGGCCTCCTCCGAAAGTGTGATAGGTGCGCCTAGATGGAAGAGTGCGATTTACGAAGGACACACTCAGTGAGACTTCCATCAGGAGCAGCCAACATGGCGCAAAAGATTGTCGAGGGCATTGATCAGGGATGGCTTAGAGCAAGGGTCCGGCCGCTTTTGGCGGAACGGATTGCCGAGCTCATGCATTCATCCCTGACACCTTTCGGGACTGAGATCCTGACGTTTCCTGCACTTGGATTCGCTTACTCGCCTCGTGACAACAGCCTAATTCTCAGCGTCCATATGCTTTCGAGAAGCCAACATCGCGCCAACATCGCGCCAACCAACCACCACCAACTAGGTACCTAATTTGTCATGTTTAGCCAACATAACGTCAGGGCCATGATGATGCTTCGGACCCTGACTAGGTACACGGGCAAGAGACACGATGCCGGCATTTGGGAGAGGACAGAAATGCCTGTCCTCAGACGACGAATTTCCCAGAAAGAGTCGTGGTGTATCCTACGAACAGACGACTGATGTGAAGGTCACAGCCAGCCCGTTAAGTTTGCGGCACACGTTGACAGTGATTGGTCCCAAAAGCCAAGACCACCCTTATTACCTCCCACACACGAGCCAACGACGAGATTAAGTGGGAGCCGTCTCCTGGTGCATTTGACGAAGATAATATCAGCACCGCCTAAAAATAGATCAGGGCAGCCCACTGATCACTGGCCACATTTCGTTAGTTTCCTTGGTCATCATCGCCCTCGATTGGGGAAACGCACCGCTGCACTTGCGGCATTTCTCCCAATTGTCCCCTCCCTCGCCTATTATATCCTGGTTCTGCAATTGACTTGTCGCTCTGCTGATGGAGCATCAGGTTATCCACCGTCCTACTGGACGCTTGGAAGGATTACCACGACGGGAAGCGGCGTGCCTCCCGAAGGTTCCCTCGATACCGTGACACTTCCCCAGCTTCCACACTAACGTATCTCCCTCCATAAGAATGCAAGCAAGCGGAGCGGAGGTTTGTCCTTTTCGGTACCTATCGGGAAAACAGTCTCACACAAATGAACGAGACGAGTACCGGCTGCATCCTCCTGATGCAGCAACCTTGCTAGCCTGCCCTCCACAGGTGCATCCGGGCTTCTAGAAGCCAGGAATATTGAAGTATCGCCGAGGGGCGCCTTGGTTGAGATTTCGCCTGGCTGCTGCCAGAGGTCACTCCCGACCTACAAGTAGGTACAAGCACATGTAGGTACGCATGTGAAGGTTGGCGAAGCGAGTGGGTCGTCATGGCTGGTTACATCTGCCCGTTGGTCGCCTGGGATTCGACAAACAAATCAGGCGTGTCGATCACGTTTGGACGAGAACGCCAACCTGACGGGAGATCTGTCGTTGGATCTGACGACTTGGAACGACTTCCACTCGCTGCTGGAATTACCGAAGCCCCTTTCACAGACTCCTCTTTCTTTTTTCCCTCTTTCTCTATCAGTGATGGATCCCTTTTTTTTTTTTTTCTCTCGCACCATTGAAAAGCCGAGTGTCTAAGCCTGATTCGTATATACTCGCGGGATTTACCCAATTCATCGCCTAGGACAGCCGGCATCGTCCCCGCATCCGCGTTGCAACTCCATAGCGGTCCTGAATGTCGCTTAGCCCTTGCAGGGTCCCTCGAACGGTAGGTGCTCACTGGTGGTCTCTTGGTGGCTGAAGGTCCACGGGCCATGATCTACACACGCGCCGCCCCAATCACTCCAATTCATTTACCGATCTCAGCCCTCTGTCGATTTTCACCAGGTTTAAAGGGCCTCTGCGTCATTGCACACCCTCATGGCAGTGGTGTTGCAAAGTAGCATCGCAATGGCCGTAACCTTTCTCC